TGGCCGATAAGAGGCGTAAACAAATGCATCAAAGGAAACGAACATAAAAGCAGAGAAAATCTGTTTCCGGGCCACTTAAGAAGACAACAGTTTATCTTTTCTGTTTTTTTTCCGTTTAGACAAAACTGAAAAGTCCTTAAAGCCATTTTCCCTTTGCCCAAAAAAATGTGAATGCAAATTCGTGGGAAATTGCAACATTTCGTGGACAACAAAAAAAACAAAGGGGAATTAGTCGTGACCAGGCTAAAAGCATTCGCTGTTTCGTTTGGCACTTTGGGCCAGGTCGAAAATCCCTAAACCCCAACAAAAGCCATTAAAAGCCAGGCGGCGAAGGTTTAAGCGACTCAAATTTGCCGCCAAAAAACAAGACAACCGCCGAAAACCAAACAGAATAAAAAAAAATATATATAAATATATATATAAGCTACGACAAAATCTCGGCGGACTTGCCAAAAAAGGCTTAGCTAATGACAATTTAAGGATTTTCTGATTTTGTTATTAACATAAATTTACTCTCAAACGTAATGGCGGGTCGGGATGGGAGGTGAGAGGTGAAAGCGGGTAATGGCCTAGCGGATAAAGTGTTTTTGCCAACGCCAACTCCTGGCCCTAACCATCGTTCTCAAATCTCTTGCAAATCTTACTCAAAAGTAACAAATGTTTTCGCATTTATAACGAATTTAAAGTTGCTCTAGAAAATGTTAATCGATAAAAGATTTATATAGGAATATAGCTATATTTCTTGAGCTAAACAAGATTATAATAATGTTCAAAGCTGAGGAAAATCTAGAATAATTAACAGGAATATCTATACAAGAACATGATATACAATGTATCCCTTATCCTTTCATTATTATTAAGATTTAGAAAACATTTTTCCAGTATTTTACAGATACATTTTCCTACTGAAATCAAATTGCATGTACCCCTTAAATGTAGGTCCTGTAAATACACAAACACAAATGTTCCGAGTTGGCTTTTCGCACACATAAACCTTAATGCCTGGCGCACTTTAAATGTATGTGGGCCCGGGGTTTTCTTTTTCTTTTCGCAATTTTTTGTTGTTTTAGAAAAGAAAAAAAAAAGAGATGTACACAGCCGTATATATAAACGAGTATATATGTACGCATAACACCTTGGTGACATATGCCAACTTACGACAATGACATGCGAAACATCAGCGCAGCCCACAGGCCCCTGCTCGGTCACGCCCCCTTTTCCCTGACATTGGACTGAGCTGGAGGGGGGCTGTGGGAAATGTTAAAGAAGCAGACGAAGAACAACAACAATCAGATATAATCAGCAAGAAGAAAAAAAAACAAAAAACAATTTACCAATCTTAGATAAAGGAAATGCAGGCGAGAGACCTGCCTGTTGAAAAGTGTTTGAGGAAAAGCCATTATCGAAGGATTAGTAATCGATATGAGAAATGGGTAACCAACTTTGATAATCTGTTAACTAAATACGACAGATAATCCAGATTAAGTAGCATTACTTTAAGTAAGTTACTTTAAGAGTTTCCAAATCAAAATTATTTCTAATAAAGCTAACTATAACGATAACTATATTTCATTACAAATAGCTGATTAAATAAATATACGCAGAAAAACAATAACATTAACATATTTTCCTTATTATTAACACTTTCTTTCTCCCACTAAACTTTAGTATTTTCTTAGGTCAGTGGAAAAACGAAAGCTTATACTTTTACAATCTCTCGCCTCGGCTCGAATCGTAAACAGTTCATTTCCACTTATCCCACACTTGATTCGGATTCGGACTATACCCAACGCTTCCCATATATATACTTTTTCTAGCCCCAAAGCAACATCTGTAGCAGACCTGGCTATAAAGAAAAGTCACACATAAAAATGGAAGCTCGAAAAGTGGGAAATCAGAGCCAAATGTTTACGATTTCATGGCCATGTTTCTTGATTTTGGCCACGCAATACAACTATGGCCAAAATAATAGTTAACTTAGGAAATTAATAGGTAATGTTATGATTTCAATCTATAAAAAATCTTAAATATTAGCAATTTTCCAAGTTATAAATACATAAAACTTCTACTTCCTTAGCTACTCTCTAAAATAATTAGTAACTTGTTTATAAAATACATAAACATTGCTATTATCTCAACCAGCACTGTATGTAAAGTAGAAGGTTTCCCTAGACTTTCCTTAGTTGGTGTTGGGGTGAAGAAGAGTCTGGATAAACCCTCATAAAACACACGGCTAAAAAGCAGAGAGCCCAGGGAGAATCCTCTCGACTTTAGTTTGCTGACGATGTGTTTACTGCGTTTCACTTTCCTCGAAAGATTTTCGCTTACTTTTCCTCTTTTTTTCGGAGTTCTTGGAAAAGTTTTGATAGTAAGTCAAAAATTGAGTTGAGTTTAAACTCCCGATGATAAATGCAATCTGTATAAGTGTCACGCTGCTCGCAGGGGATTGGAATGATGCCCTAGACCTTCAGCCACTTGTATTACTTCATTTAAATCAGACCAAAAACATTAGGCCAGAGTCATAAAACATGGGGAAAATAATTTTTTTCTTTGGCAGCGAAGGTGGAGGTGGAGGCGTAGTAGGCGTCCGGGAGGAAATAAAAATGTAAATGTATCCAAAGGGCAGCAAATGAAATTATAACAGGGAGCTGTGGGTGTCCTTTCTGGTTTTTCGTTTTTTTTTTTCCCAGGGAGGCCCATTCAAAGTTTCCCCAATCCAGAGAAGAAAAAACATAGCCAACTAAATAAAATGCGAGGGCTATAAAATTGAGTGCAGTTGCCGAAACAAGAGCAATAAGAAAATCGCCAACGAAAATGAAAATGAAAATGTTTGTCAAGCACGAAACCAACTGGCCCCCGAAAAAATTCACATTGAACGAACACTTTTGACCGCAATATTTGGCAAATGTTTTGGGCCATAAAGAGCATTCCGGCTAAACAACAAGAATCTAAATCAAGAAAACAAACGACAGAAAGAAACGAAAGTGAAAAAGTGAAATTGAAATACATGCACATAATTTGAATGGGAAAACCTCCGTTTTGATTTCCCGACTCTAGACGAAGGTCAAAGGAAATTCTGGTTTAACCAATTAAGAAACTGCGGTCGACTGAGGTTGTGGTTTTTACTCTGGGATTTGGGAATCGAATTGATTCGGAGCCTAATCAACTAAATAAATGGTATGGAAAACCAGGAGTAAGGAAAATCTGTTTCCAATTTTCACAAATTTAATTAGAGAAAAGAAAAAGTTCAGTAATAAACCAAATAAAATGTCTTTGAGTTGGTTAAATATACAAAATATTCTCCCTTTTCTAATTTGAAAATATTCTTAAAAAATATTACATAGACTTTAATAGTTAATAATCTTTGTTAACACTTTAAAAATCATCTTTGATCTTCAGAAATAAGAAACCTAATAGTAAACTTGAATGTTTTTCAGGGAGAACTCGCGGAAAATCATTGAAAACCCCTCTGGGTCAAAATGGGGAGACAAATAATAGCTGTAGATTAATAATGAAAATATTATTATTATTTTTGTTTGCTGCACATTTCTCTTGCTGCCACTCAAATGACCGCGTCAGCTCGGCACCCTCGCCCGCCCCTACAATTTTCCTATATAATTTTCCTTGGACAATTTTATACGCGCCCCCTCCCTCCCTCTCAGCCCCGCCATCAACGCATTTTGTTTGCTGTGGATGCCAAAAGGACTTGGCGGCGTCAAATTTATGGCTCTTGACTCTCGACTCTTGGCATTCCAGTGCGCGTAGAATGCAGAATGCACCATTGTCAATAAAGTCCTTTCCTCACTCACCCAAACAGTTTGCCCTTCCGCTTTTCCCCAATTTTCCGCTTTAAAAGCAAAGATCTGTAACTTTTTTTGGCGGGCGAGTGAAATAAATTTTGAAGGCAGCCAGAAGAAGTGCATAAAATCAAACACAATACGCGAATAGAGCCGCAAATCATTTTGAAGGATACTCTGGAGTATCCTTGGACCCTTCTCTAATTAGTTTACAAGAAGGGGACGTGGAGAAGGCGAGCTGGCAAATGGAACAGAAAACAAATCAATGACAGATGATGAGTGGTAGCGACAAGCCACCAAGGGTGGCCACACTCGAAGAAAAATCATGTATTATAATGAACAGAATATTCAGAACAGAATATTTCAGAAACTTAACTTTTGTTTAATAACAAAACTATATTAAGTCTTTATGGGAAAAACTCTGCTGTTATTTTAACTTTTTAAAATGTAGAAAAAATCCGTATTATTTAGTTGTATCTTCTAGAGCCTTAATTTAAATCTCACAATCTAAGGAGTTATGTTTTTTTTCCAGTGTAATAAAAGGGCTGCGCTGGGAGGCTATTCAAGCCTCCACCCATAAATATGTATTTGTATATTCCCCCGTTTGTTCGGTTTATGTGACAGCCTCAAAGTGCATTCAAAATAAAGTATGCAGGCATCCTTTTTGTTGCCTTCTGTTTCCAACTGGTTTTCCCTTTTTTTCTTTTTTTCTTTTTTTGCCTAGTTTGAATGTTTTGCAAATAGAAAATCATAAGGGGAATAAAAGCTAGTTTCACAGAGGAAAAACTTCCACAAATTTCACAAAATTTTAAGCTGTAAATAAACTACAGTTTTAAGCTATAATCTCTGGAAGAATTATAGCAAAACAAAAATAAAAAGGTTCTTAGAAACCTCTTGCCACATAGATAATTATTTTGGTTTTCGTATATATTATTATTTTTTAGTTATATTTTAAACAATTATAATTTAGTTGTAGAAAATGTACTCTAATTTATATTGCAAAAGGTACTTTTGAAATCTTTCAGACTCTTTTTAAATATATATTTATATTTGAATATACATTTAACGGCCACAAAAATATTTAATTAACAAAAGCTTGGCAAAAAATGTGAAATGTTATTATTTTGTAAACGCATTTTATTAATTTTTAACACATTTTCCAATAGTTAAGTTAATAACTTTACCACTAGAAATAACACAAACCACAACTTTTAAGATTTCTGTGGTTTTAAAAATGAAAACTTTGAATATTCCTAGCTCACCTTTAACAGTTTCGTTTTCAGAACTTCAAATAAAAGATAAGTTTAGCAATGATTTGCCAATGTATATGAATTTTTCAACGCTTTCCACATACGAAAACACTTTTAAAGAAAAATAAAAAATTTGAAAATCACCCGAACCGTTAACCGTTAATCGGCGTTTTCGAAACTCAACCGTTTCGCTGGTGAACCGCTAAATTTCGGTCTGTGTCCGCTGGCAAGCGAACGCGTCGAAAGCTGAACTGCTACTTGTTGGCGTTTCGTCGTCCTCCGAGTGCCAAGCGGAGATGCTAGGGCAATGCAATAAAAACAGAGAACACACACACAGACGCTAAGGAAAAAAGGAAAACAACACAGACACGGAGTACGCACACAGGCGCGAACAGTTTTCCACCAGCAACCCGAGCCTCCCCGAGAAAAGTTCATTTTCCGATTCATTTTCGGCGAATTCGCTTCACTGCAAATTCGTCTGTTGGGTATTCATAAGCTTTGAGCTTTTCCCATTGCTTTTCCGGCCAAGCTTCGCGCTCGCTGCAAAGGAAAAGCCGGCTATAAAGGTAAACTAAGAGAGAGCAAGCTTAACTGACACTTTGGCGCCAGATTTTAAAAAATACTACAAAGCTTAAAAAAGCGTTAAGGTCTTTAAAACCACTTCCCATGACTAAATGTGAAGGACATGAAATCTTAAATCTCCCCGTTACCCTGATTTTTTATTATACAAAAGATATAGAAGTTAAATTATACAAAATATAGAAATCATGAAAGCAAAAGGCCGGCCCACTACAAAGGCGATCCCTTTATTGATCTTCTTGCTTATAGATTTTTCTGATCTTTTCGGACATTTCATAGAGCTCATCCATAACCTCCATATCATATAGCTTAGCATTCAGATAGACTCGCTGCATGTATCTGGTCATCGGATTAATTATCTTGACTCTAACTAACTCATCAACAGTGACATGGAACAAGTCATTAGAACTAGCTTTTTGCAATTGTGATTTTGCGGAATTTTCGACATATTTTTCTGATTGCTGATCCTTATTCTGATTTCTTGATAAAATCAAAGTTCTAGTTTCTGCCTCTGAGTCCCCCTTTATACTATCAGAATCAAGCTGGAATTTTCCCCTATCCTCTTGCTTTTCAATCTCAGCTTGAACAGATTTCCTAAGTTCATCGGCATTCCTTGCAGTAACCGCTTTCGATTTGGAGCTCTTAGAAGAACTCGATTTCCCAGCAGCTTTAGTTTCTTGACACAGCCTATGGTGGATTTCCTTATAATAATTAATCAAAGTTGGGACAGGAGGTGCTCTAATGCGACTCGAAGAAGACGATGATGGCTCACGTATCCAGGCCTTGCAAATCACACAATACGTTCTGGTAGCTTCTACACATTCTGGCTGAGAATTGGAAGCCGAAACATATTGGCAACGATCTGAATTTCTAAAGAGTTTTTCATCCTTATCTTTACGCTTCAGTTGCTTGATACGGCTCTAGGGATTTCAATTATAAACTATCTATCAATGGTCTTTATAAAAGGGTTTTAAGAAAGAAAATGGAATTGATTCTAGAACCAAAGCCCTTCTTAATCGTAGACGTATACTAGCTCTTAAGTTACTAATTATTAAACAAAATAACTCACCAGTTTTTCTAGTCGAGCATAGAAGCGATGTTCGTCGAATAATGGTGAATCCAGACCCTGAAGAATTTCTTGGCCAACATTAAACGGACAGTCAACATCCCCACACGTGCATAACAATTTCTTTTTCTTTGGCTTTTCCCGGTGCTTTTGCTCTAAGGAAGTCCTTTCCGAACAGTGACGAGAGCGACCGTTCTTCTCCTCTTCTTTGGTGATATAAGATGACTCTCCATCAAACTAATAATAGATTATATATTAAATAAACGAAAAAACTAAAAAATAAACGATAAATTCATTTTATAGTCTCACCCGTAGGCAACCGCACCATTCACACTTAGAAGGCTTAGTTGGTTGCATATCCTTACGATACTTAGCCGGTTTTTCCATCGTTTTAGAGCAATGGGAAAATGCAAGTAAAGATGAGAAGTTTTTCCGGATAACTATTGATTGAAAAATCAGCACCTTTAGAAGTGATGTGTTCTCATATGACATTAGTTTCCAAGAAGACTTGAACAGGACTCAGGAAACAAAAAAAAAGTTTCCTAATTTCGAAAAACCAAAAATAAATTACCAATTTTGTTAAAATTTTGAAAGATAAATTATAAATTTGGGAAATCACTTCAAAAATTATTTAATCAAAATTTAAATTTTTCAAATTTCACAAAACAAAAATTAAATGAAATATTAATTTCCACTCCGAACCATTGAAATGACAATATGTGACTTGTTGTTGTTGTATTTTTTAATTAATTCATAATAAAAGTTTCTATTTTTCGGTTGGTTTTTGTTTTTTTTTTTCTGTTTTGTTTTGTTTTCGACGCTTAGCTAATATATTTATTATATATATATTATTTATATGTATATCTACAATAGTTATTAGCATTATCATTATTAAACTGTTGTTTGCTTTCTTTTTGTTTCGAATCTGCGTAATTCGCAGATCCATTTCATTTGTTTGTTGGTTTGTTTGTTTGTTTCTTTCTTTTTTAGACAAGTTAAGATTTTAAAAAAAAACTCAAAATTACACTTATATACGTGTTTGTTAGTTCTTCTTTCCCCGCGCTTCTCTCTCGCTTCAGCTTTCGCTTCTTCGCTTAAATAACAACAAAATCTTCGCTTCTGCCAAATAAATTATATATGCATATATATCATAAATATATATATGTATATATATATATATACGGTCATATACTTGGTAAGACGTAATCGTAGGGCATACAAAAAAAAAAAAGAAACTAAAACAAATCTTGATGCAATTTCAATCGGAGGTTAAAAAATTAAACTGTATCTCTGTCTATATATAAATAGAAATTTGTGTTTTGTTATATTCTTATATTCTGATTAAAATAACTAATATACATTTTAGGTGTGGGCGGGGCGGGGCGGGGCTGTGAGGGGTTTGGTAAGTTCAAATGAATTAGTAAGTAACTACAAAATAAGAATCGTTCAAATACCAATTAGCAGGATATGAAGCCAATAATCAAAATGATAAACAAACATCTTCGTCCGCATGAATGAAAATAGGTTGGTTTTCAACGGCCTTGGGTCTTAGGATCACCAATCTATATATTATATATACATATATTTATATATATATATAATTGTCCAACTTCCTCGTACCGAGAAGCGCGCTTTCGGCTCGACTTGACTCGCATTTTGGTTGTCATCGTAATCATTTTATCATCATGATTTCTCATATCTAATTATGTTCGCTTGTTGTAAATATACAATCTTTCATATACTCTATTTATATATATTTATTTATATATAATTTGTATATAGTTTAATTAGCTTTTTATTGCAGTTGAGTATACTATGTTGACTTGTTTTTGTTTGTTTGTTTGTTTGTTGGTGTTGTTGTTGATGTTGTTGTTGCTGGTGTTCTTGATCCTATTTCGTTTAATTAACTTTTGTTTTCACTTTTCAGTTTTTAGTTTTGTGTTTGTTTTTGCTTGTTTTGTTTTTTTTCGATTCGTTACTAGGCTTTATCCATATTGCTTCTTGATCTTGATAGGTCTTTGACGGCTCTATTCTCCTTTTGTAGTTATCTTGAGTGTGTTGTTTGTGGCTATTTCTCTGGCTTTTCCTCCGCCTTTTGTTTTTGCTTATTTAAGTTTAGTTTTGTTTTTAATTTACGCTTTGCTAATTATAAATTATGTTTTAGTTTTTGTGTTTCTTGTTGGAGTTCTTGTTGCAGCTGTTGGTTGATTTATCCGGATCTTTCTTGTGCCAAGTCCATATAAGTCCGCTTAACCCAGTACCATATATTTTGCCACCAATATATGGTCGGTTTTACGCGAAGGGGGCAGAATGGAACTCGATCCGAACACAAGTTAATCGCGGGCTGGTAGTGGTAGTAGTAGTGGTGGTGGTGGTGGGGAGAGATGCGTCGCCCAAGTGGAGAGAAGTAGAAGGATGGAGCAGGATGCACGCAGTTTATTAGTCATTGTAATTGGCCCACCGCCAGTCGTTGTCATCCATCTCTAAACCATACCATACCCAGATATAACCATAATAAATTTGGTATAAATTGGGCATGCGAAACGAGGACAAAGGCTAGCTTCTGGCGGCGACCACAATGGACCAATCATCATCGCAATCATCATCAGCTGCGCCAGAATAAGCTCTTTTTGAGCCTGACAGACAGCTTGCGATGTACGCGCAGCCTAACCTGCTCCTGATCCTAAGTATCGTCCGACATGAACGCGTTCTGAGTCTTCGACTCCTCAATACGGCGGATCTGTTGGCGCAAATACATGATTCTACGCGAAGAAAATATATACAACATATAAATAAACATAAGATAGTTTCCTTTGGCAACTTCGCCTACTCACTTTTGTTCCTGCAGGGTGGCATTGATCTCGGTGCTGCGCACCAGGCTGCGGGCGCATTTTAGTTCCGCGCATATCCTCGTGCAGGTGATGTCGCCAAATAGGTGCGTATCCTCACAGCACTTCTGCGCCTTCGAGAAATAATATAAATAACAAATACAATCAGTTCGAGTTTTTAAATATTCATAAGAGTATATATATGAATCTTTCGAGGCCGAATTAGTGACAAATACTACCTCACAGCTTACCTGACGCTCCAGCACCTCCGCTTGCCAGTTAGTCACATGCGCGATCAGGTCGGCGCGGTAGTATTTGGCCAGCTTGGGCGAAATCTCGGGACCACGAAGGTTTGCCGCTTGGCCCGATGAACTCACGCAGCTCTGCAGCGAGCTCAGCGTGGCCGACGAGGTGCCATCCACTGGAATAACCATTAAACAATATTTATTTATATATGCTTAAACAATGTCAATGTTCAAGGACTTACATTTACGCTGCTGCTGGGCTTGCTGTGCCGCCTGCAACTGTAGGCTTGCCGCTGCTGCAGCTACTGCGGCTGCCGCTGCGGCGGCCAACTGTTGCTGCTCCAGCGACGTACCGCTTAAGTCCAGTTCCTGGGTAGGCGTGGGCGGGCCCTCGCCACCCGCCGCCGCCCCGCTGTTGCTGCCCATCGAGGTGATCACACTGATTCCGCTGACAGCGCCCAAGCCGGGCACGATGCTTTGGCTGCTATTCGCTCCACTGGAGCCGGAGGAGGCATTGCCTCCGGGCGTGGCCGGTGAGGCATTCGCCACCAGCACTCCGCCATCAAGGCTCGTCTTTAGGCCGAAGGGTGGATTGCAGGTGTAGGCGTTACTCACGTTATTTGTATGGCCCACAATCGTCGGGATGGGACTCTTGGTGTAACTCAACGGCGGCGAGAGGCTGTGATGCGGATGGGGCATGTACAGCGGGGAGTTCACATTGTTGTCCCTGATATAAATGATATAATTAAAATCTATTGCCCTATGATATGACATCGTTCACTTACCGTAAACTGCCGGGGACCGAGTTATTGACCGAATTGTAGGCATGGTTGGCCACTCCATCTGCCGCCGAACCAACAGAATTGACGCCATGATGTGATTGTACATCAAGGACGCCCAGACCCAGGTGCATCTTTTGGCGCATTAGCAGCGCCTGATCCTTGCCCTTGGCACCCGGTGGCAGTGGAGCATTCGAGTTTAGATGGTGCTGGTGCGGATCCTGGCTCCCCAGTGTGGGCACAGTTGTCTGCAATGCATTGGAATACGGTTAAAACATACAACAATCGAAAAAGTGTCTTATTATAAAAGCAAACTTACGCCGGAAGTGGAGCCAATGTGGCCGACAACAGAATTCCTTAGGCTGTTGCTGCTGGCATTGTTACTGCTGCCGCTGGCACTGTTGCTGCTGTTGCTGTTAACTATTCCCGACGACGACAGTCCGCTGGTGGGCAGCATTGTGGCACCCGTTACTGGGCCACCGCCCGCTCCGCTGCCGTAATGCAGTCCCGCCGCCGATCCCGCACCTGCCACCGAAGCGGAGGAACTCGCATTCGGATGGGAGGCCAAACGCGGCAGGGCATTGCCCATTGGCTGGTCGCTGCTACCACCTGGACCACCACTGCCCGGTCCACCGCCGTGTGTGGTGGGCGTGCCGCTCAGTGAATAACTAGCCTCCGACGTAGGCGTAGAGTCACCGCTTATGTCCATGTCAGCATTGTCGTTATGTCGACCTGTTGATAATAATTTAAGATTAAATACCTTATTGGAAATCGAATGCTGCTCTGTTCAAGCTTTGTAGAATCAAAGTACTATAGGATTCTTACCATCCAAACGTCTTCGATGACTGGGCGGACCATCGTTGTCGTTGTAATTCCATCTCAGTCGTGTATTGTCGCGCGAAGAATTGGAATGTTTGTATGCTGCAATGTAAGAATGATATTAGAATTACATTTTCTTTTTCAAGTGCGGATTTTTCAACATACTCGATCTGGAGAAACGATCATCGCGGTCCCGATCGCGATCCTTGTCGCGATAGTCTTTCTCACGATGCTGATCGCGCGGCAAATTTCTGAAATAACATAACATATGTTAATAAAGGTTTTCTCGTGGTAATAAAATCCCAGCTTTTACCTTTCTCTGTCTACCCATTCCTTTGGTTTCTCCCATTGAGAGATTTCCGTTTTGCAGTTGTAGTAATACATTTTGCCTAAAATCAAACAAATATTGTTGATAAAAAGCTGACAAGAGCAACTTGGCATAGATGGACTCACCCGATGAGCTGACATGCTCGCTCCAGTCGCCATAACGCGCCGTTCGCTCGCCACGATCGCTGCGTTCGCGTTTGTCTGCAAAAAAAAACACAAAATAAGCTTAGTAAATGGTGGAAATTGTAAAGAACATCTATTTCGACTTACCTGCATACTTGTCCTTCTTATACATGTCCCTGTCGCGATCGGATCCACGATCCCGCTTGTCGCGCAGGTCACGCAGGTCTCGATCCCGTTCCCGATCGCGATCGTCGGACCCCGAGCGTTTGTCATTCTCCCGCGAGGAGCAGAGCTTGCCGCTGGCATTGCTTCCACCACCACCACCGCCTCCTCCGCCGCCACCTCCTCCTCCGCCACCGCCACGGCGATCCCTGTCATGGTTGGTGCGATATGACGACTCCGAGTCGCGATCGTTGCCACGCCGATCACGTTTGTCTAAGGATGAAGATAAATATTTCGTTAATGATAATATCTTTACAGCTTAATCTGTCAAATTCAACTCACCTGAATATTTATCCTTTTTGTAAACATCCCGATCTCGATCCCGCATCTTTTGTATGAAGCTATATCGTTCGCCGCTGCCACCACGGCCATTACCGCCACCACCTCCGCCGCCGCGATGATCACTACGATCTCGGAGATCGTGCGAACGGGACGATGGCGAATCAATGTCCGGCGATTGGGAGCGGTAGCTGTTGCCATTGTTTAATGGCCCGCCACCATTGCCGCTACCACCACCGCCGCCACCTCCAGCGGATCCACCGCCTCCGCCACCGCCAGCGCCTGGCGACAGGTCGCGATCGCGATAATTGGAGGAACGATCGCGTTCATAGTCGCGCTTTGAACTGCTGTACTTTGAGCTCTGCACGGGTAAATAGAAGCGCACACAGTCTTTAGTTGATTTACATTCCCAAAAATTAATTGCACAGTGCTACAAAATACAATTTTCGAGGAGTACTTTTCAAGAGGACCCGGTGGAGATTTTCAGATATGGTCGGGAAATAGCTTGATATTCGGAAAATCTCTATCAAATCTTAAAGAACTTTAAATGTAAAATAAAAATCCAATCAATGGCAAACCAAAAGCGGGTTGTACCCAAAAATCCTTGAAAACTTAAAGAAACAAAAAAACTTTTTCGACCATTCTTAAAATCTTTCCAGAATCTCTTGAAAAACACTTCATCACTGTTTTATCCAGTGTTAGTAATTCATAATAGCGGTTGATTTAAGTCTCGGTTAAGTTATAACTTTTTAAATTATTTCATTTTTTGGGGGATATGGTGGTTAGTTGAACTAAATCTACTTAATAGGGAAATCATAAGTTAATGCATAAATGCCAGCTACTTTTGCCAATGTTCTCGCTTGTGATTATTGCCAATGCTAAGTAAACCAAAATAAAAACAAAAAACAAACAAACGAAATGAAATGAAAGTTAAGTGAAATGAAATTCCGATGGTTTGAAAAATCAAACGTGTAATTGACAAGAATTTTGAAATATGTCAAGTATTTGGTTCGGTTTTGTCTTTTTAAAGACTCTAAATTATAATATCCGAAATTAGTGGGTGAATTTTTAAGTTAAATTTTCAAATAAATTATATTTGAAATGAAAATTAAATATGAAGCTTCTTCTTTTTGTGTTATTATTATATTCGCTTTTTGATTCAAGTTGATGGGTTTATTTGTTGAGTAGCTCACGATTTTTTATGGTTTTTAATCAGAATTATCCTTTTTAATTTAGCGATTTATATGATGACTTCTTCATTTGCTTGTTTAAGTGTTTTAGCCAATATAAAATAAGTTATTTTACTTCATAATTTGTTTATGAAATAATAAATGTTCTGTGTTCAACGTCGTTTTGTGTCTTGTTTTGGTCAGATTTTGGTTCAAATTATACAAATTTTGAGGAAATATTTATAGCTGCTTCATTTTTGCTTAATTTTGTGTATAATTTCATGAAGTTGTTGAATGTTTTATTCATTTTACACATTTTTTTTTATATCCTTCTTTTATATGGTTTATTTTATGATGTTTTATTGCTGCATTTAACCGTTTTCGATAGTTTATGGTTCTTAATTTGTCCTTTTCATTATTGATCATTCATTTTTTAGGCATTATTTTTTATGGATTATTTTATTACTTACTTCTAGGCGACAGAGGCCAACTGCTGAAGGCGTCGACGTCGCTGCCAGCGATGATGCTGATGCGGTGCCCTTGCTGCTCGCATTGTTGTTATTACTATTACTGTTATTATTATTATTATGGTTGCTAATGTTGCTATTGCAATTGGCAATTGTTGTTGTTGAAAGGGAGAGATCAACAGCCATGTTGTTGTTGTTGCTGGATTTGTTGGTGCTGCTGCTGGAGGAGTTGCTGTTGCTCCTCATAGATAATTAATTATCTTGAATTAATTAACAATTATGTTGGTTTTCGTATTGATAATCCAATTGGTCGCTTTTGTTCACAACTTTTAATTATTTATTTGTAATTATTTTTGTTTTTAATTTCGCATTTATTATTTGTTTGGCTTAATTGATTGTTGTTGCTTTTTGTTTGAGGCACATTTGTGTTGTTGTTGTTGTTGTTGTTTTTGGTGTTGTCGTTGATATTTTCGTTAAATATTTGTGAAATCTATTTATGTTACTCAGTTGCACATTCATTTTTTGTTTGTAATATTTTTTATAAATTGGTGTATAATTGTTTACTACGTCTTCGTTTTTTAAGGCTATTTTAGTTTGATTAAGTTTTTTAATTGGTTTAGGCAGCGTTTAGAAATTGGTTATTAATTTGATTTCTATTTAAAATAGTTTGATAAATGTTTATATACTTTCGCTTTCGTTATTCTATCAATAATAATCTATATATATATATTTCGATTTAAAGCATATATTTGTGCTGTTCGGTTAAGAATTGTAATTGAATAATTTCATTCTAAATAGGATATTTTGTTGATAACTATATTTCTTCTTTCGTATTCTTGTATATCTCGACCTATTTAACTATTTATTTAAATTGGTTTTAATTTGTTTTTATTTGGTTTCTTGTTTCTTTTTGGCGTTGATGCGTAAAGATTCGTTTCTCAATTTAAGATCAGTTCAGGCTGCAATGCCGCGTTTTTGAATGGGTTCAAAAATGAAACACGAGTTTTGGTCAGTACAAAAATGGATGAGGTTACGGGAAAAGTAAGATTTTGGGATGCACAACAAACACAGCGATTTGAACAAAAGGAAGAATGTGAAATGTTAAACGGAAAATACCCAAAAATCTCAACTTTACAAATTGCAATTTTGTTGATTTTTCAGTGATCATCCAACTACATACTAAAATATCAGCAAATGGCAAATAGGGAAATCAATGGTTCTAGAATCTACGGTTTACATTGGCTTTTTATGATTATTTTTTCGTTTTTCTTTGGCTTTTGGGTGCACTACGAAAGGAGCTAAACTACAAAACCAAAAATATCCACTAAAAGCTGGCATACAAAATGTGATTAATTGCGCTTTAAAAGTGGGATCATGATCGGTCTGCTCACCTGGTATGATGTGTGACTGGTATGCTTCTCAAAGTACCTAAAGAAATGGGAAAGAAGGATGAAAAATATAATTAGTTTGGTTTGTAATGAAGATGAAAGTATTAAACATACTTTTAAACACAATTTTGTGCCCAATTTAATCATATCTTTGACTTTTTCATGGAAATAAAATGGTAGTTATATGATAATTATTCTTTCTTATAATTAATAATTAACCACGATAACAAAAATCCATCAAAAAATCCTTGGGATATGAAAAGAAAATGCCAAACGTAAATCGATTTCCCTTTCCTATTGGCTTTTCTTTTATCAATAAAAGCGCTTATCAATGCCGGCATTGATTTGTTGACACTCATTAATTTTAGTTGTTTTGGGTTCGACGAACAATCGAAAGCCGGCTAAAAAGCGATGGTAAATAAACAAATTAAGGGAAATTCGTATAATAAACAATCGATTTCAACTTGTTTTCAGTGCAACAAAAAAGCAACGGTAAATGTGACAAGAATTTTATTTTTTTGGCCTTTTTTTGCCAGCTGAGCGCGTGCGAGTGAGAGGCAACTAATGTGTGGTGGAATACCTGAAACACGTATATCGCGAGAATGGCAGAATCAAAGGAGAAAAATTAAAGTCACAAACTTAAGGTAAAATTAACTATTTTAAGAAAATCATTTAGTTATATGAAAATATGAAAATTTAGAGGTAAAAACGAAACGCGGGCAGTGACCGCACTGCGAGTTAGAGCGAGATGGCGATATAGCAGAACGTAAACAAAAAAATATACAATTATGGGTGTGTGCGTGCGAGTGTGGTTGTGTGTTGGGGATCACTGTTATTGCCGATATTACGGTATATTTTGTTATACTATATTGTAATAGATATATTACCCATCGTTCATACGCTGCGGTTTTCTAGCATGCATTACCATCAATGCAAGTTTTTCGCCAAATACGCTGCTGCTGCTTCTGTTGGTTTTTCTACTGCTGCTTCCTCCTCCTCCGTCTTCTACTTCCCTATAGGATGCTGCTGCTTCTTCTCCTTCGACGGCCGCTGCTGCTGCTGCTTCCTCTTCCCAAGCAGATAATGCAGCCTTATTCCGATTCTATCCAATTTTGTGGGGCCTTTGGCGCCTCCTTTTTGCTCCTTATTCTCCTCCGCCTCCTTTCGCCACCTCTTCTTCTTCTCACCTGCCAAGGCACGCGCGCTTGTATGTGTGTGTGTGTGTTGTGGCTGCTTGTATGGGAGGCTCTCAGTGGCATGTGTGTGTTGTGTGGCCCGTAACTTTATGTCTGATTGTGTGTGTGAGTGTTCCTAAATTGCGGTCGCCGTTTTATCGGCTTATTTTGCTGCCACCTAAAAGTACAAACGTTCAAGGCAATCCTTTAAACAGCTTCCTTTTTCAATCTCTTTAATGCAATTAGCATTGCGAACGCCTTTAATTTTTCACTTTAAACGCACGCACACACACACACACGGCATTGGCGTGCGTGTGTGCTTGCGAGCATGTGTGTGTGTGTGTGTGTGTGGTGTCGCTTCATTCGTATTTCGTTTTTTAGTTATTTGGCTCGTACCTTACCGCAATTCGTTTGCCGCTCGCCTTCTTCGCCTTGCTGTAATCGCCACATTTAGTTGCTCCACATCGAACGAGAATTGTTTAATTATATGCCGACTTGCTGCATTCGCTTTTTGGCCTCTATACTTGATGATTTTTTTCAATTCTTTTGCATTACGCTTTGTGCGGTCTGTTCGTCGGCACGGCTGTGTTGAGTTTGACAGCCATCAGTCCCGATTTCCATCTCGCTCGCACATTCTCGTTCCGTCATACGGTTGTCCCTATTCCTCTGGCCGCTTGGCGGGTGTTAGAAGAGTACGGCTATGTTATTAATATTGTTGGTTGGCATGGTGAACTCCAGGTGGCGTAGTAGTTTTGTGAGATTTTTTAGTGCGTTCTAGCTTTAGGCGTTGGACGGATAGCAAAATGGTCACTCAGCGGCTTGGCACTGCCAACCTGGCCGATATTTTGAATCTTATTTGAAAGTACTATGAAATTAAAAAAATAAACAATAGAGTTATAGTATTTTAATTCATATTTTTTCTTCTATGATATTCTATTTATATCACTTTTAATTTACGAATATGAATAATACTTCTTCTTGAACATCGATAGTATCGAGTAGAATTCACTACAGCTTTTATTATCGTTTTCACGATAGCCCATGAAAAATCGCCTCCATTTATCGATAACAGCGGCAGGCTGACTCCTGGAATTCCTAGAAATATTAAATAAATATTTAATTTATACGCATTTACAAGGAATGAGTTTAGGCGACTGTATAAATAACTTTATATATTTGACGGGTAGCGAGGATTACGCCCTTAATTTGGCAAAGGTATGTAAATATCCTGTGATTTCCGTTTTGTTGATGTTGTAGCAATGCGTCTATATTGTGTTCTTTTCATTCAAAATAGCTATGCGAACGCTTTGCCTTAAAGGAAAAGCGCGTTTTATTGATCACCAGTCGCCAGCAGGGTATGGCGAAGCGTTATCCATGGGATACGCAGAACTGCAGCAAATATCTGACCATTTTGCAACTGGTGGACGTTGAGAGCACCCCATTGCGTATGCTGGAGATGCAGAATAATGCCGAGTCTTTTCGGATTCCCGATCTGATTGTATTTGATCTGCAATCTCTGGTTTTGGATGCCTTGTTGCGTCCTGTTATGCAGCAATGCTCCACGGATAAAATGGTACGACACATTGCCAAATGCTCGGCATCCTTTGTCAATTATCGCGAAATCCTGACCAATTTGGAGCTCCAGAAGGAGGGTAAACCCATCGATACCATTGTGGTCATGTCACAGGAACCGTATCCCATGTCACCAGCCCAGTTTAAGCTGCTCATCGGTTTGTATTTCCATGGCAACGAGTGTCACACGAATTTCGGCAAACTCTCAGCCAGAATTCTGGTATCCCAGGGATTTGCCTAGCTCAAAAGCACAGGAGTTCTTGGGACCAACACAGTGCCTTATAGAGCTGCCCTTTGGGGTCTCCTGTTTTTGATCGAGACCCTTTATATTCTCTCAACCTAACTGACAGTAAGATGATTTTTGGTCTCTATACCTAAATAGTTATATACTCAAGTAATTTAAGTTAATAAGTTAATTAATATCAGTTTTTGAAGGATAAACTAAAGGCCAGACGAAGATATTAGAAGGAACTCTCAAAAGTATATTCGAATATTTTGGTTATTTATGTAAAAACAATTTAAAAGTTATATAGAATCCTTCCCAAGAAAAAGGAAAACCATATGGAATTTGTTGTTAGGCTAAAGAATAGTCGAATATTTAAGTTACCCATGGATTAAGAAAAGTTTGTAGAAAGTTTAAAGATTTTGCACCCTTTATTATATGAAAATATAATACTGCAGGAGTGCAAATCCTTTGAAGGAACTTTAGAAATACAAAAAGATGGAAAATATTTCCCATACATGGCATCCATGCAAAATGTTATACAAAAATTAAGCAATCGAATGCTCGATCAAATATAAGACTTTATTTTTAGGTATACTATTTATTCTAAAAGGGATTACAACTACCAAAAAAAAAAATGCAGATAATATTTAAACATTATAATATACATACATACATATAACAAATCTCAATTTAAGCAAATTTGAGTAAAATAAAAAAAAATTTGGAATACAGAAATGCATAAAGTACATATATATAATTGCCGTAAATATTATTGGAGAATGTATTCCGGAAATGTGATAACTGATCTCCGGAACGCAAGCCACAAAAGCCCGATCAAAAAAAAAAAAGGAACTAAAACTCTTTCACATGTAGCCCTCCCTGCCCTGACTTGCCCCGAATCCCTGACTGACTTTATCCCAAATGAAGGCTCAAATGTAGTCCAGCATGCCGCTGATGATTTCGAAGGCATCCCGAGCCGTGGGCTCGATGGCGCTGCTGGGCAGCAGATAGCCATGCACTCCATTGTCCGCCAATTGGATCGTATAGCTGAAGGGTATACCGATCTCGTAGGCGGCAAAGGCGTCCGCGCAGCCTGGTAAAAATCAAGATTAGCAAAAGGATTGTCCAGTTTTTATACAACTATAATACCCACCCGATCGCTGCTCGATTAGATCGTTAGAGGCATCGACCTTATATCGAGATTTACTGCCCTTCTTGCGCAATCCATCGGTGCCCACCATTGCCACGTCCAGGAAGTCATCCAATCTCTCTGAATTAAAAGTAGAATTGGCTTTGACTGGATAGGAAATCACTTGGCCATAGGCTTGCAGGGATATATACAGCTAAAAGTTTGGCAGTTTTAAAACATTATATTAGTTATTTTATAATTTAGACTTACCTTGATTTGCGTTCTATAGTCCATGAGGAATTCGGAGACTGCCTTGGTTTCCGGTTCGGAAAATGGAGCTGGGCCTGCGTAGAACTCGTTGCAGGGCGATTTGGAGCTGCCCCGTTTACCCCAATGATAGAGCCAATTCCTGTCTAGATCCACACCATGGCAGACCTTATCCGGACCCCGTTTCTGCTGGAGCCAAGTCATCGCCGAGTCGAGGAGGCCACTGGGTGGCGGAGTTTGGTGCTGTGATCTTGATTTCTTCCAGAAACGATCATACTCGTGGCTATAGGCATATCCATCGGGATTTAGAACTGGCATAACGTACCAGGTGGTGTTCCTTATGAATTCCACATCCTCGTTGCTTTCTGTTGGGTTTGAAAAATATTTTTTATGTTTTAACAATTTATAAGTTCTATATTTCTAACCCATCCACGTAGCCTCATCCCCTCAACTCAGTTTGTATTAGTTCACCCTTCGTCAGTCCGTCAGTCAACAAATTGGGAGCACTTAAAAATCTAGAGCTTAAGAACTTCAGGCATCAACAGCTAGCCACTTGCCCTTCAGTTGGACCAGGATCAGGTGGCGATGGAGAGGCGAAGACCCCGAAAATCATCGCGTCACTTCTTGCGCTCCAAAGCGAATCCCTCTGTTGACGGAGAAGGAGGAGCAGGTGGCGGTGGCTCTGCGCCATCTACCTCTAAGGTGGTCTACCCCAAAAGCGAGGGTGATGAAGCCCCCACGATCACATCTCTTCTGGGCGGTCGTCTAAACCGAGTTTCCCGCTTCACAAGAGTTCCACAAGCCCTGCAAATTACTGAAAATCCTGAGAAAACTGGCGTACCCGAAAGAGAGTCTGTACTATCGGAGGGCTCAGAATCGAATCCCGAATGGACGGTAATTGCAGAATCGGCAAGTCCTCGAGGATCGGCTGTTCATGGAATCGTGGGTATAGCATTTAATAACGTGGGAAGAGATTCGGAAAGTCCCCGTGTATCGGAGGAACTTCCAGAAGTTTTCAGAACATCATCCGTACGGCCTTCAACCGTGACATCGGGCAGTCTTCGTTTCAATACGTCTCAGGATGGGCATCCAACTGGTAATATTAATTTTGCCCCGGATTCGTTCTCTAGTGAGAACAGGAACAGCAGCTTAGTGTCCAATGAAGGCGATGGGAATGTCATTGTGGAACGAACGGCTCCGAGTTTGGGTTCCTGCCCCCAGGGCTGGGTTAATGCTCGATCGCAATCTAACGCTGGACCTTCCGGACGGGATACCTTGGGATTTGCCATCCAACTTGGCGCCGCCACAGTCGGTAACAATCGTTGCGGTTTGGGTGTTACTTGCGATGAGGATTGTGGTTACGGAAATGGTTGCGATGCCGGATGTAGTGAGGATCATGGGATCGAACCGGGAAGCATTTTCATGCCAGCAGCCCAAAATGCGCATGCATTGACAGCAGCAGTGAAATTGGGTGGTCCACCTCCTAATAGCAATCTGCGAGGTGCTCAAAAACCCCAAGTTGCCTATAAGCCCTGTCCAGCCTTACAGCGTGAATCTAATGGCGCAGATTTCGGGAGTGATCCGTTCAGCTTCTTCGTTACCTTTCTACTAGAAGTTCTTGGCGTACTAGTGTGAGAATCTTTTCAAGGAATATCATCTAAGCATAGTCTTAACCAATGAAAACCTTTTACTCTCCAGCTTTTTTGCCATTTGCACTATAACATTCTGGATAACTCTGGGTTACCATGTCGTTCAGTTGCTGCTGGATTTGAAGAACGCCGATCGCAATGTTCAGGTGGCGGTGGGCATTGTGTTTGGGCTGCTTTTCGTCGCGTTTGCCATTTCGCAGGTGACCAATCTAAGTGGTTCCTGCTGCCATGCAAAGGATCGAGCCCGTTCCAGGGCCAAAGGCGGTAGCGGCATTTGTCCCTTTCACAGGCCACCCAAAACCAACGCAAAGGCCAAACAAAAAATCAGTTCCCCCAAACCGAAGAGCTGTCCTCATAAAGCGAAGCTAAAAAAGGCAAGTATTTGCGGAGCCAAATATGATCTCCATTCGCATCGAAGACCACGCTACACCGACTGCGAGGGAAGGGCCATTTTCCTGAGCTCCAGACGATATGCCATACCCACCGAGATGAAGCAGCCGCCAACCATCGTTCTCTGGCTGCGCGATGTGCTAGCCCGGATGATGCAATAATACCATTAAGGATCCACTGCCCCCAAAAACAAACCATGACATCAACTGGATTGGGACTGACAGGGATAAACTATGACACCTCTAGATACAAATTCGATAATATGGATCCAAATTTCAGGTTCAATAAACTTTTCTAAACTGTCAATTAACTATATAACCTTTTTGCGAGATATTTTTAGAGTTAGTTTAGTTAATGTGTTAACTAATTACCTAGCAAATTTCAGGTATAGTAGAATATTACTCACTGTTTGTCTTCATCAGTCGCAGTAGCTCAGCTATCATCCAGGTGGCCGTCGCAGGTCCAATCCAGGCCATTCCTTGAGCTCCGGCCTCCACAAACACAGCGTTAGCTTGGCCAGTCTTTCGCTTCCTCTTGGGTCGCTTGACGGTGTGTTGATCCTCACTATTTGCCATCGCCGCCGACTGTTTGGACTCGATCTTTACCACAATCAAAGGACGCCCCTCGTATGAACGACCGATGTGGATGAGCTCAACCAGTTGAGGATGGCGCATGCGCACCGTCTCCAAATACTTAACGATCTCATCGTGGTTGTGGTAACGATTCCAGTTCATGGGCGGTGGCACTGTGGGCTTTGGTCTTGGCTTCGAAGGACGAGTTGTATGGAGATAATCCTCTTTGGCCAGCTCGTAGGCAATGGCTTTGCCCACATCGAAGATGAGAACTTCGTGGGCAATGCTCTCGTAGTTGAGGGTGCCCTGGAAGTCCACGAGCATCTTGGGGGGCACCAGGACATCGGTGAGGCCTCTATAGATTGCGGTTAATAACATTCTTCAGCTTAAACCTCCAGACTATCAACTCACCGGAGACTGGGTCCCTTCAGCCAGTGCATCTTAACTCCATCTTCGCCCTTCTTGAACTCCTCCAGCGCTCGGACCTGCTCCTCATCCTGCGGCTTGAGTCGCCATATCTGATACTTATCATAGCTTATTCGCCTGGGAACCTCTGGCCTGGATGTGGTGGTTGTGGTGCTTGTAGTTCCCCTGGTCGTCATCCGAGTGGCCAGTGCCTGAAGCAACGGATTACTGGTGGTTGTGGATGCCATGGCATTGCCCGTCGAATTGACAATATGATGGGCCAATATGCCAATCCAATTTTGTGGATTCCTCAGTGGATCCACAATGGTTAGGATGGGCACTTGGGCAGCCGCCGACGGTGTGTGAGTCGTCGTTGTGGTTGAGGTGGTCGACGTGGAGGTGGTGGATCGACGTCTGACCTTACGTTTTGGCCTCGAATCGAACCAGCTGGAAAACCATTCTGTTGGGAAAGAGGAAAAGCAGTCATATATTGGCTTTTAAGACTTTGGTTTCTTTGGTTTTTCCTTTTTGCGGATGTGCAGAAAGCGTGAAGGAAAACGAGAACCTAAACTCGAGAAACCCAAAACACCGTTAGCCATTCAATGGGGTTCTGGGTTTTCCCTTTTATCTCCCTGCTCATTCAGCCGATCTCCCCATTAACCGAGCCACTCATAAAACAAGAACTTGGCTTTTAATTGCATGGTAATTAGATGGTTAGCCAAATATGAAAACCAACAATAGAAAAAAAGGTATTCTAAATATAGAAGTAAGTAAAGGTGAATTGCTAAATCATCGTTACTATTTTTCAGATTTAAGAACTAATCATGCATGTGGTTGTACTCACTGTCATAGTCATCCTCGCCATCTGCCTCCGTGGCGGGCTTGCCAAATCCAAACCAGGATTCCAGCCATCCGGGTGGGTCCTTCGTGGGTGGTGGCAATGGCACTGGCACCGTGGTGGTAGTAGTGGTACTACCGATCTTCTTGTTGCGTCGCTGCAAACCAAACCAAGAGCTAAACCAGCTGCCAAGCGAGGAGGAATCATCGTCATCCTCCGAATCCTCATCTTCTGGCTCGGCATAGGCTTCATTGCTGTGGGCACTGTGATAGAGTGTATAGCTTGGATACTTTGATATGGGTGGACTGGCTGGTTCCTTGTCCTCTTCCTCATCCGGAGTACCAAAGCCATCCATGAATCGTGACATGGCCACTTGGACGGGATAGAAGATCATGCGGAAGAAACCACCTATTCCAGAGTCCTCGTCATCATCGTAATCTTCATCGGACTCGACTGGTCGCCTCTTGATGCGGATCTTCTTCTTGGCCATGGAATTCTTGGTACTAGAGGTGGCATCCTCTTCCTCGCTGCTTGATATAGCCGATGTGGTCGTTGTTTCCTCCTCAACCATTGCTCCAAAATCAGCGCCCTCCTCAGCGGAGCTGCTATCTTCCTTGAGATCACTCTGGGCCTCTGTGCTGCTACTTTGATTGGGTCTTGGTCTGTCCTTATTATTTTCCCCAACCTCGAAATAGTAGTCATCATCATCGTCCTCCTCCTCTTCTTCATCCTCGTAATCCCCACCAGACATTAGTTCGAATATATCAAAGCTGGGCAACTCGGGTCGTCCACGTTTGCGTTCCTTAGTCTTAGTTTTAGTTTTAGTTTTAGTTTTAGTTTTATTCTGATTAGTAGTTAAGGATACTTTGGGTAATTCTTCATGACTATGATTTCGGTGAAGTAGATGTAGAGCAGTTGGAATGTGTAGGACACCACCTGAGTTGGTCTCTTTCTTCTGAGTGGGTTCTGGCGATTTCTGTTTGGTCTTGCGCTTCCTGGACTTCCCCTTGGGTGAGCGTCGTTTAGGGGTATTCACTCGTCGAGCTGCCACAACATTTTGCGATCCAAGGGCTACTTTATTTTGTGAATCCTTTGATCCTGTTTTGACCTCAACCAAAGATCGACGTTGCCTACGGTGAAGTCTTTTAGAATTACCAATTCCTTGGGGGTTCTCTCTTTCTTCCAGATTCTTCAAAGAACGCTTAGTTAGCTTAGCTTCTTTAAATTCTTTTCTTGACTTCTTAAAAGCTTTTTTCACAATTTCCATTTTAGTCAGAGTCTTTAGAGAAAAAGAATGTCTTCCTGGATAAAGTGGCTCTATTAGTTTAGCTCCATTAAATTCTAGCGAGCGGCGTCTTCGAAGATTTAGTGGTTCCACCACCTCGAGGGGTTCCTGTTCTTCCAGTGTTTCACTTTCTTCCGATGGCTCTTCGCCAGTTCTCAATAAATGCTGACTGAAGACATTGGCCGTTGGCAAAGTGGCTTGCGGCATATGTGGTTTCTCCACTTGCGTATAAGCCGGCGGTGGTCGCGTGGTGGTGCTAGTGGTGCTGGGTCTCTTACCCAAGATAATGGGTAAAGGACCCTGGGAATTCCTCGTATTATTCCCCCCATAACCCGGTCTCTTTTTGATCACTTTAGTCTTGTTCTTTGGTTTCTTCTTGCGTCTCTTTCTTCGCGTATTTGGCTTTGGAGTGGTGCTGGTGGTGGTGCTGTTGCTGTTGCTGTTACGGTGGGGCAACTTCAGCAGCTGATCACTTACATGATTGATGGGTCCACTGGTTACCATCACAGGCGGTGGTCGATGATTTGGCTTGGGTAGCTTGTTACTTGGCTTGTTTAGCGGCTTTTTTGGCTTCTTCAATCGTATAATCTGAGGCCTGGCTGTGGTTCCTCCATTATGGACTGGATTCAGGGTGGATATAACCGTGCCAGGTGGTATAGATTGACAGTGCTGTTCGTATTGCCTTCGCAGATTCTCCAGATCGGCATCATACTGTGCCTTGGTTACATAAATGGCAATGGAATTGCTATCGTTTCGACTTTGAGTGGGTATATTACTTGGATTCTGACCCAATCCCACTTGACTGATGGCATACACAATCCCGGTGGTTGGGTGGGTGAAGTATATGGGAAATGTGGTTGCATTATTGCCTGGGGAATGTGGTTTCGGTTTTGCATTGGGTTTGGGTTTGGGTTCTGGTTCCTTAATCTCCAGCAGCTCGCTTTGAACATGAAATTGATCGGAAATTGAGGATCCCGGTTGACTATCCTCCACGGACTCAAAGACATACGGCTGCGATTGCTCTGGGTCCTTATCGAATAGTTGGAAATCCAATTCGGGTGGCTCGAAACGTATGGAGGTCTGGTGCTGATAACGCGGCACAAAACGGCGATCTTGGACGCGACGCTGGATGAGATTACGATCCCATCCCTGACGCACTAAACTATCGAACTCCTCGGCACTCGGATGATAGCCAAAATCGATGGCACCGGTTGGATCGGCCAAGATCCAGACATCGACGACCACGATTAAGAGCAAAACGGTCAACCCGGTTAACATGTCTCTTATTCTCGCCGATCTGACGTTGCTCCACGACAATGACGATGACTACGATGATGACTGTTTGGCTGCGCGGCTGGTTGGCAAATGAAACGAGCCCCAAGTCGCGGGCCCAACTCAGCCGGTCGGTGAAAGCCCCGTCTTCGGTCCCCTGCACCATCACAGTTTCGGCCACTTGGCTTTTGGCCCGTAACGCTGCCACCACTTCCATCTCCTCCTCCGCCTTATCCCCTGTGTAATGCTTTCGAGCTCCTAACCCCTCAACCTGTCGAACGTTCTGGCCACAGTTTGCTGGCAACTCCCAGCTCACCAACTATCTTCTTAACTGGCCTTGCGACAGTTATCGAGGCATGCCAAATTGTCGATCTAATCACCAATGGGGCAAACAAGGGTTAAGTGCTGGAAAAATTATGGAATCGAAAGTAGAAAGAGAAAAAATCTAAGGAAATATGTTTATAAAAGTGGCAATATATATCACTGGCCCTGATCTAATCTAAGTTAAATATATTAAAATGTATAAAAATACAAATATTTTTAGCTGAAAAAGATAAATTTTAAATCGATAAACTTAATTTATATACCAAGTCTTGTTTTTTCCTTTTAGTTCACATGGAAAACTTACAAATGAATCTACTAATTTCTCTCAGTGTAAGCCTGTGTGAGCTTGAGTGCTTCCCAAGTGATTCGGCTCTATGGAGGCACGCATCCCAGCAGATCGGGTTAGCCGGCATGTGGTGGCAATCTTGGCCAGGTCATTTGCTTGTGGTATGCGGCATGTACTATATAGTGTTTCTGTCTGTGTGTTGTGTGACTGAAGCTGTGGCTGTGTCATTGGTGACCCACTTAGGAGACACTGCTTTTTGCCTTTCTGGAGGATCAGGCGCCGGAGGTTGGCCAACAACAGGTCGGACTTGTCCAGTGGTGGGAGGAGGTGGGACTAGGCCACTAGGCTCTAAAAGCCAACATTAAATTGCTGGCAATGGCGACAATTCGATCTGATGGCTCATCATCGGGTCAGCCCAACTGTGTTTGGACTGGAATGGCTGGACATGGCAATATATTAATTGCAAAATGCCATTAGTATGTGGGAAAATTTATATTGATGATATAAACTAAATAAAGTAAAATTGATATTGATTAACATTAACATTATATGAAAAGATATATATTTTATATATTTAATTACGATTTATTTATCTTTCTTTCTATCTTTTAGGCATTTTAATGATGGGAAATTAATCCTCTTAGATTACAATCTCGCTTTCGGATACGGTGACAATGCTGTGAAGTGACTTGGAACGGTCGCAGAATGAGTTAAGAGATCAAAATTTCCGTTTCGGATATGGCGACAATGTCTAAATCCACAGCCGACTCTTCAGATCTTTCACTTTCTACGCATTCTGCAATTAAATATCATATTTTTTCATAATTTTCTGGCGGCTTTAGTTTACTTTTTTTGGCTTGTTGTTGGTGACTTTCCCTCCAGGGGCGGTGACCCCGCCCTTTAAAATCAGGTATGTCTATCTGTCACTGGGTAATTACAAGCACTAAGACAATAATATTCTCTGCTTATACGTACTTACTGGAGCGTAACTAAAAAACGTTTAACGTTTCAAGCCAACGGCAATTGACAAAAAAAAAGCGAAAAAAATACGCTTCGAAAACGCCTCAAGCGAATAAAAAAAAGGGGGAATGTCCGTATGTCTTTTAATAACAATAATAATCCACTGAATAATATAAACAAAAGCCACTGTTTGCTGAGGGAAAGACAACAACAACAACAACAAAATATAAGTAACATTTTTAATTGCAAGTTTTCTTTTTAGTCGGCGATCTAAACAGAAGCCAAGCATGTCAGGGGTTCCACATAGATGTCTAGATATAGAGACATAAAGACTATAATATATATACTCCCATATATATATCACGAGCAGAACTACCTGTTTTGGATGTGTTAAGAAGTGGAAAGACATCGCTGAAAGCGAAAGTCATCAAGGTTTCAGGGGAGTAAGTTTATATACTAAAACTATTTTAACAGATTTTTGTAGAGTGGGATAGACATTTTAAAAGATTCTACAGTTTTTGGCACACAGTAGTGTCAGCCTTTAAAGCAATAAAAAAAAGTATAATATTTATTTATAAACATCTAGTGGAAAGGTCAACCCTGAATAGAGAATATCCAACTTATAATGATAAAAATATTGAGAAGAGAATGTATTTATTCTAGAAAATAAATAAAACCATAAGCTAAAGTTCGACGACTCTTAAATGAAAACAATCCATATTTATTTTCTTAGCTAGCACATTTTAAACATTTTCATTTAATTATTCCTTTTTTTGTTTTGAAAGATTTATAAATCAGTAAAAAAAAAATGTATTTCATCTTTATAAAAAACTTTGAATGCCCTGTAAATATCTAATTTTTATAGAATAGCATATTGCTAGACTAGTGGTAGCTACTTCTCTTAATATGTTTTAATAAAACTTTACCTTTTAAAGTTATTCGATATTACTTTATATACTTTTTATATGTATACCCTCTTCTTTAGCAAAAACTGATGATCTCTCGTTAGGGTATTACCCATATATACTTTCGATCCGCACACGTTCTGACATGATTGTATTCGTCATTGGGTCGGCTGACCCAAAATGTGATTCTTTTTATAGGCAATCCCCCCATCCATCCACGCATCATCTAAAGAAAAAGCGAAAGATGCCAAATCAGAGGACAATGTTCGATCTTGTGAGGTGCCTAGGCTATAGATACACATATATATCTATGGTTTTATGGACTGTCCATCTATTTCCAAGGTCAGGGACAGGGACTCAGGGTCGGACTGGCGTTTCTTTGTGTTCTGAGGTCGCCGCCCGTCTCCAATTGAGCGATCTGCTCAAATAGTTGGCGTGTGTCCCGCGATAGAAGCCCATGGAAGTGGATAAACACTGGAAGAAAAGGGGATGGTACTTCTGGTTTAAGTAATAAACTTTACTAGAGTACAAAATGATATTGTCCCAAAATATACGAAAAAACGTCACAGAAACAATATATTTCCTTTTAAGTTAACACAATTAAGTACTATTTTTTTGCTGTGCACATTTATTATTGGAATTCTTTGTTATCTCACCGCCTTTTTCCATTAATTTATTTTTTACACAAATCAATAATAATAAAGCGAAATTTAAACGGTTCATTTACCCTAGATGTTTAGATATTTTTAGATTTCTTCTAATAGTTTAAGATGACTAAGACTACAACGACTATTAAAGAGAGCTTAAAAAAGGTATTTTAGTTTTATGTTTAAAATATTTGATTATTAAACTGAAAGACTAGTCAATAATATTAATAATAACTTATTATATTCCCATGCCTTTTCTCACTGTTATCTTCATATTTAACAGCCTCTGACGCTCAATAAGCGCAGCACTAAGTTTGTTATCTTTTTACTTATGAATTCCATTCATTAATTGATTTCATTCACTTCGGGCAACGCCACCTGTTGCGAGCTATGTGAACTATGGGATTTAATTAGAACAGCTGATCGACAACCTGTTGGCCAGCCATCTCATTCGCACTTCCATCTGTCGAATATTTTTGTAATGAGCCAGCAAAGGAGTGAGCGAGTGAGTGTGAGAGAAAGAAGAGGTGGGGGCGATGCTCTCTTCTGCTTTTGTACACTGTAATAAGAGGGGAACGCCAATTATTAATATCACAATCTGTATTTAAAGAAAAATCTATTCAAAATTAAATAAGTTCAAATAATAATAGGTATAATCTTTAACTATTTTGTAAATTAGATATTTCTAAAATTCTAATTATTAAGTGTATATACAGATATTAAATATACTTACCAAACATTATATATTTTCTTAAATTTTTCTTAGAATCCTAAAGAATGTGCTAATGTTTTTGCTGAGTGTATGGCCACCTATCTCACTCCCACTCGCTGGCCGTCCGAATAACCAAACGATTGTCGCCGCTTCGCCGGTCGTCAGTCTTGAATTTTTCGTGGAGCGATTAACACACAGCGAACACAGATCGTCAAAAGGCTAAAAAGGCCCCTCGAATCTAACCGCATCCGCATCCTAAATAAATATAAGACCAACAGCAAAGATCGCCGGCCAAATGCAGGCAGCGAAAATAAATCATTAAGATCAAGAACAAATTACGCGAGTGTGTGTTTTCTTAGTTTTTTTCTGCTTTTTTTTACCCGTTTGTTTTTTGCTTAATTTTTGACCGACTTTTGGGACAACCAGAACAACAACCAGAAGAAGGACAACAACCACAACATGGATGCCGAGGTGTGTAATTAAATTGCAATCGTTACGTTTAAGACCTATGCCTAAAAAAAGAAAAGAAAACCAAAACGCAAAAGTGAAACCCAAATAAAAGGCCGAAAAAGAGCCAGCCAAAATTGAAATTACGACGCACAACAAAACGAGTTAATTTTTGCCGGCTGTCGAACAACAACAAAGCCCAAAAATCAAAGGCAGAAAACCCAAAAAACAAAGACAACTTCTTTTGGATGAAAACAAAGTCACAAAATTCAAGTGCAAAGTCAGCGCAAAAAATTAAACAATATTTTAGGCACAGCTGTTGAGTTTTTGGTGGTTAAATCAACAGAGTCGCTGGCGGAGTTTATTTTTAGGGGGAATTTTATAGCGATAAGCCAGTTTAATAACAGCAATTAAGCCATGGAATGTGGCATAAAAAAATATTAGTGGCAACTCATTAAATATGCAAACAAATGTATTAACCTCGAAATGATGTGAATGACTAGGAAGTTTGGTTTTCCAGGGGGGTTCGAATGAAAATTCTATTAGGTAATTTGAAATTAAAAATCAATAAATTAAGGTATCTTTTTAGTTTTTGATTTGTTATCACCATAAGCTTATAATATTGGTGGCATCAACTTCCGTTAAACGAATTTATTGATTTGCACGAAATTCCTGCTTATCTATGGGCTTGGATTTATGGATTTGCTGGCACTTATCTGTAATGAAAGATTACCAAAGATTTATGGCAGCTACCAAAAAAAAAAATTAAAACCCTTTTGGGTTACACCCCTGGATTTTACGCCTCAGGTGTTGTTTTCCCTCTTGTTTTTGTTGCTGCTTGAAAATGCAAATGCAAAAGCTGGAAAATGAAAATTCGCACACTTCTATGCATTTGCTTGATCAAGGTCAGAACTTGTTCTGGCCGAAACACTGTTTTATATTTGCTGTCTATCTGTGTGATTATGCACTTAGCGAAATAGTTAAATATTAAATATAAAATAGTGGTAAATAAATATTTAGCTCTTATAAAAATACTTCTCTTAAGTGTAAACAAAAATAAGAAAATTTAAATACATTTTCTGATACTTAAGATGTCTTCAAACCAAGTTAAACATTAAATGGAATTTTTCTCCCGAATGCATTTGTGTGGCGAACAAAAGCTTTGCCAATAAAAACCAATCAAGGTTCCCTTTGAGCTTGTCAGATTTCCGGCAACATTAATAAAAGAGAAATTAAACATTTTTTTTTTGTGTTCTGTTGCCCAGCAGTGCAGTGAACCCTCGACGGAGTGACCATACCAGACCAGAGCCACACGCACCGTCAGCGGTGGAAAATTTTCCACTCGCAGACATTGCTCAATTCAAGAAGCAAAATAAGAAAAAAAAAAAAAAACACATAAGAAGGGAAATGAGACCGCACATAAATAATATCAGTTCGCAGCCTTGTTGACAGTTTGCCAATGGGAGGTGCCATGGGTTAAGAGAGGCGACTGTGGCGGCGGGGTGTTAAGGGGGTGGACCATACCACGCACTTGAAGACGTTCCTATCTGGCGTTATCTGCCATTAATTGACGGCATGCCAGTCAGCTGCTTTTCCACGGTAAAAGTCTGGTCTAGATTAAAGTCAAAGCTAATCAAGGGTATCTTAACGTCTAGTCACCCCTTCCCCGTTTTCCCATACCCATGGCCTACCTCTATAGTTGTTTCTTATTTAATTGGTGATAGAACTATCTATGACTTCCCCTTTAATACCCTATAATAGTTCCTAAGGAATATTTGATTATTTTATTAACTTAAATCAGTTTCTATTAAGCCATAAAAAGATAGAATATTATTTATGGGCCAGCTTAATCATGTTACAATTCAATAACAAAACCCCGTGAAATATATTGCCAAATCGACTCAAATTGAATTCATAATCGAAATACCTTTAGTACAGTGTAAGATAATAACGATTTATACTTTGTCTTAACTACTTTAAGTGCCGATAAGGAACGGAAATAATTGTCTAGATTTACACAAGGCACCAGGTGTGTGCGTCTGGAGTACCCTTTTAAATATCGCGTATACGTCAGGGGCGCCATGTCCTCCAGTAGATTGCGTATACCACATGTTGGCAGGTAATCTGAACGAGCTCTTGGAGAGGTGAGACGAGAGCCAAATGATATGAAGCGAAAGCAAAATCAGTTTGGCGATAACTCACTCATTATTTACAATACTTAAGATTCACTTGGAGCTCCTTGATAGATATATGAATTCTATATAGCATATGTATTGGCATTGGCAACAGGGAGATTGACACTTTCAACAACTTCATTTGTAGTTCAACTGACAAAGTGGCCCATAAATCATTTGCCATCTATTCCAATCAATATGCTTAATACTGCAGTAAAAAACTGATTGATAAGAACTTATCAATGATGATTTAAATAAACGTGAACGTGGGTTTTTCCTTAAAAAGGTTTTTAGCTATCAAATAAATAACATTAAAACGTGATGGGATTCAATTACAAGGCACGAACTGAATGAAAATGTAGTAAATGAGTCAAAAATAGCTTTCTATGCTTAATTTACAGAATAATTCTTTTGTTTAATGGGTTAATCATTTTTTCCCACTTCTTTAACACTGCCATATCATAATTACTCTCGATCAAAATTCGAACAACGCAATATTTAATAGCAATGTTTTTAGATTGTCGAGAAGTTTCAATTAGACCCATTGAACTTCGATGCTCGAGGCAGACACGTGCTATATAGATATAGATATCGGTGGGTCTGTTTGGCAAACGTTCGTGTGTCATCGAAAGGCCACTTATCTAGCCGACACTATATATAGATAAAGATATAGATAGCATTTAATTTGCTTTGTATTTGGCTTTTATGAATCCGTTTAATTGGCTTTTGATTTAGTTTGTGGCCTTATTTATGGCCCCAACTATCCCAAAAAAAAAAAAAAAACATAGATATCCTTATCATCCCGTATGGGGGAGAACTTTTCCATCTGTCGTTCTGAAATGGAAATCCCCGAATCAATTTATTACAGCCTTAAATTGTCCAGTCATTCAGAACGTTCCGTGATTCCCCGGATAAGATCTCCGTCTATGAACTTGATCATGGAAACTGACAGGCGGAAACACTCGAGTGGTTAGCGTTTTCTAATCGGACAATTAAAGCCCATCAACAGATCGAGGAAAACTACGGCGTTTATTCTATATATATATATTCTATATATTCATTTTAATTGTAAGCTTTTGTTTTAATTGTTCTTTTTCATCAATGAAAAACATAAAACTAAATCGAAAGGCGCCAAATCAACTTGAGAAAAATCAGACTGCAACAGTTCCTAAACAGGAAACTGTCGAAGGAGGAGCAACGGAAGAAACGACAGGAGGAGCAGTGAAGAAGGAGGATCACGATGCGGAGTATCATCCACCAACAAGGTATCACCAATCTTCAACTGCTTGCTCCTCGTAACCAACCTGTTAATCCTACCCCAACAAATTACCCGCAAATAACATCTTAACTAATGGAAATATCATGCTTACTAACCTTAAGAGTTTAAGCTTTAAGTTGTGGCTTTGAAATTTAGATTTAAGACACTGACCTATACAACTTTAGTTTTGAAATAAAGCTAACTATAACTTAATTAAGTATTTACCTTGATCCTGATCTCCTGCTTTAACCAACTAACCCCGCTTGCCAACTATAAGTCTGCTTCAAACGATCCTGACTCCCAGCTTTAAACCAAATAACATCCAGCATTAAGAATATGTTAATCCCGGAAATATCTGCATGCAATTTACCATGATCATGTAATGAAAATCAAACCTTAATTGTCACAGCTTTAACCTAATTCATCAGTATATAACCCCAGCGATATTCCTAATCATCGAATAACTATAAAACCCAAACCATCATCACCAAACCGTAATCCGCAATCCAAATTCCTGTGATGCCCAGTAACAGTACTCCTATAACCAATGTGATCCTAAACTTATCTGCAATTCGGATGTTACCCTAATGAAAATCCTGAATCCCAGCTTACTAACTTCAGCCTCAATAATAACAACTAATGGAGTTCCTATACCAATCCACCAGTGGACAACCCAACCCAACCTAGTTCCTAGTTAACCTCAAATCCCAAGATGATCTGTGTTCCTGTAATTCAAGCTACCTGGAGACGATTGTCCATCTGTTCAAGGGCAACATAGGACCTGGTCTTTTCGCCATGGGAGATGCCTTCAAGAACGGAGGTCTTCTGGTGGCGCCACTACTAACCGTGGTGATAGCCGTGGTCTCCATCCACTGTCAACATGTCCTGGTGACTTGTTCCAAGAAGATGCGGGACATCAAGGGAGAGTCGGTGTGCGCGGACTATGCACAGACAGTGGAGCAGTGCTTTGAGAATGGACCACCGAAGTTGAGGGGCTGGTCCCGAACGATGGGGCGACTGGTGGACATCTTCATTTGTGTGACTCAGTTGGGTTTCTGTTGCATCTACTTTGTGTTCATCAGCACGAATCTGAAACAGGTGAGTTTCGGTTAAAGGAGTTAGGAAGGAGATGGATACTGAAGATGACTTACCCATTTTGAAAGATCCTGCAAGCCTACGACATCGATATGAATGTCCATCTGGTGATGCTGCTGGCCTTTGTGCCCGTGCTCCTTAGTTCACTGATCACGAACCTTAAGTGGCTGACCCCCGTCTCGATGTTTGCAAATGTCTGCATGATCCTGGGACTGGCCATTACCTTGTACTATGCCCTCAAGGACGGACTGCCGGAGGTGCAGGAACGCGCCCTCTGGACGAATGGCTCACAGCTGGCCCTCTTCTTCGGCACCGCCATCTTTGCCTTCGAGGGCATTGCCCTGGTGATGCCGCTGAAGAATGCCATGCGAAAGCCACACCAGTTCGAGCGGCCATTGGGTGTGCTCAATGTGGGCATGTTCCTCGTCTCCGTCATGTTCATGTTCGCCGGATCCGTGGGCTATATGAAGTGGGGTGAGCAGGTTGGTGGAAGCTTAACCCTCAATCTGGGTGATACCATGTGAGTCCTGGCTTTGGAACTTTAGTCATTTGATTATATGAGGCTGTACATCCATCCATCCACAGACTGGCCCAGGCTGTCAAATTGATGGTCTCTGCCGGAGTTCTTCTAGGATATCCTCTGCAGTTTTTCGTGGCCATTCAGATCATGTGGCCCAGTGCCAAGCAGATGTGCGGTATTCAAGGACGATCGCTGCTTGGAGAGCTGGGCTTTCGGACTTTTATGGTCCTGGTGACTCGTAAGTATACGCCATGTGGACCCATTTTGAAATGAGGAAAACTTATATGGTTTTCCTCCAGTTGCCATTGCGGAAATGGTTCCTGCCCTGGGACTTTTCATCTCCCTGATCGGAGCACTATGCTCAACGGCTTTGGCCTTGGTCTTTCCACCAGTCATCGAACTGATCGCTAGGAGTGAACTTAACAAAGGACCAGGTGTCTGGATTTGTGTGAAGAACCTTGTCATCCTGGTGATGGCTCTGCTGGGCTTCTTCACCGGCTCCTATGAAAGTCTCAAGCAGATTGTCAAGCATTTTGGCGAAGAGGAGGTGCACTGAGAACTAACAACTTACCATGAGAAGAGCAGAGCCTTACCTCGCTGAAGATTTAATAAGGACTTTAGAAATAGAAGCACAAAAACGAACAATACAGGAATAGCAGAAGATCATCAATATCATCGATAGTCTATCAAACCTCAAAGTAATAACCAAAAGCTTTAGTTAAAGTTAATGCTATAACTAACCAGAAGCCATAAGAAACAATTTAAACAGAGCCACCAAAAAGCAATGCAACATCACAGGATCCCTTCACTATCTTAGGAGTATTATCAAAATAACACGATCAATAACCACATGGAACAATATACCTTAACCTTAATTATTTACATAAAAACATAACATTATTTGCGAATTTATTATCAACAAAAGATTTGGCCATATTTATATATATCTAAGTGCCTCCTTTTGTGTCTTAGTAAGCGTGCAGCGCATTTTACTTATTATAATTGATTATTTTTTTTTATAGATATTAAGTGGGAATAAACGATGCGACGTTTGTTTTGACGTCATCGCAAAATGACAAGAACCTGACAGATGTGTTTTTTGGGGTATCAAGTACTTGAAAAAGCCGACATAATAACAATGTTTTGCCTTTGAGTGGACATCTGGGAAGCTAAAAATGATGTTTGAATATTCATAATAATCATGTTATTTGCAATTCTCAAGGAATCCAGTTAAGCCAAACACTGAATCACAAATCATTTGCCACAAAAAACGTGCGAGTAATGGCAGTTATAAACTAAATGAGACGAATACTAATAAAGTTGCCGAACAAGTTCTTTGAAATGAAATTAAACTGAATGACGATTATAATTTTGTGATTATTATCCAAATTAGCTTTGATATTGACCCCGTTTCGAAAGAATCTATAAATTGGATTCTGATAGATATCGTCTGTCGACTTTCGCTTTCGTCTGGCGGTAACTGGTTAAGAGCCATACCGAGAATTAAATCTCGTTCTCTATCTCCCCCTATGGGTATTACACTAATCTAATCCGATCCGAACCGAACCGAATCAATCTAATCGAAACCGTTTTGTCTACGACCTTCAACTCAAACGATGAATGGAACTGCAGGCAATGTCGTTGGATATGCAAGGCGGAAGTCAGGAGCGCAGAAAAAGGAGGGTGATCATTAAAATAAGTTAAATAATTAAGCAAGTATTTAGATCTAGTTGTAATATTTTAGCTTAGAATGTTATTCTTCTAATGATAAATATCAATACAATGTTTATACCTTGAAAATTTGCTCTCCTAAAGACCAGAAACTAAGAAGAAACCTGTACTATTATTTTTTTACGATCTTGAAGATATTTTAACCTTTAAGTGCGCCCCTGCTGTCTGTTATGCATTTGTTTTTTAGTACCCCTTATATAATCCAATTGCTGAATTCCGTAAACATCGACAGATCGATCGGTTGGTCGTCCGTTTGATTGGAAGACTGTGAGGAAGAAGTGAGATGCAGCTACCGACCGTAGAACTTTGATTCCGTGCAATTCATTTAACTGGCGCTTCTTCAATCAAGGCGGTAAATTTCCGTACAAGTCCGTACAGGGAAGGGAGGGGCCTGTAGGGGGTTAAGGTAAAGGTGTAACGATCACGAATGCGGTGCTCTTTATGTTATATAGTATATATGGAATATTCATGCTACGCCAAAGAATTCGATGCGATGGGCACGTGCCATATGGAAATTGAATAGAAAACCGAATTCCGGAAAGCAGCCGGATCCTTGAACCTGATCGAACCACTTCCTGCCGGTAGAAACCCCATAACCTTAATGTATATATATATATCAGTAGGCAATGTCGTGACGCAATAAGCGTTACGAATCCAACATTGTACACTTGAAATACACTCGCATAGCCGACAGCAAGCAAATAAATAAATTAACTAACTTTGAATGATGAATGACAACATTTTTAGTGCCCATAAATGTCGTCGTCGCAGCACCTAAAAATAAATAAAGATCGCTTGACTCTTAAATGAATTTAAGGAAATTCCACTCATTTGTCTGGTTTTATATTTACTTTTCAAACTTTTCGTGTTATAGAAATCAATATTAGTTATTACCAATTACTAGCCTTTAAGTCACGTGCGGCAAAACAATATGAAATTAATTTCTTTTCACCATCCAATAAGGTTGTACATATGTACAATAAGCCAAATCAAATTTACATTAATTAGAAACAATATTCAATTCAGTTAATTTGCAAATATTAATTGCAAATTTTATCCAGTTTGTTTTGCTTTGTTTGCGCTGTTAATCTGGTCTTGATCTTTATATAGTATAATTTCTCCGAACTGAAATGGATTTGAAGGGGATTTTTTCTTAACTTCTGCTGAGATCAGCATACAAATTAGAGTACATTAAACTTGCACTTAACCTTAATGCTTTTACTTACCTGGTTATATATAATGTTGTATATAAAGATGTGATTTAATCACTGATCCTTGACGAAATAAGCCAATTCTTATCACTTTATCGATGAGTGATTGCCTGATATTTCCTATCTTTCTTCGGTTCATTGCATTTCCTCGGTAGTTTTCCATTAAGAAGTGGCAAATCTTTCAGGGAAAGTGATTTTGAACTACGTTGAGTCAGCCAATATAGTTGCAACAAAGCTTTCGAAACTACTATCGATAATAAGATCAGAATAGATCTCATACTCCCACAGTCTCCCACGCAGGTTAACCCTTTAATAACTATGAGCTTTAATAATTTGATTATATTGTTGAAATATTTCGAAATGGTCTTGATAGTATTGGATATTTAAAGAATATGTTTTGTTTTTTAAATTTTTTTCCTTGAAATTATTTAATCATATAAACTAATAGTAATATATTTTACAAAAACCCTTTTTATCTTTTAAATAAGAAATGCAATCATAGAGAGTGTTCTAAATTTTGTTTTGAAACGAGTGCAATGGGTTAAACGTTATGCGCATTTCTGCATCGCTCACACAGACAGACGCCCGCTCTTTATTTTTCTACTATTTTTTGTTTTTAATTTTTTTATTTTCGCTTTCTGACTTTTGCCTTTGGCAATTTTGCTTTTTGCTCGCTTCTGTTGGCCAACTCGAGCATTGAGTCTGGTTTGAGTTCTTGCCGCGAGCGGTCGATACCTCGACGATACCTCAAGTGATACTTACTCGCAGTCAATCAGCGCAGGTGAACATCGCTAGTTAGTTATTAAAGAGGCTTAAACACCGGATTGGATTAATTAATGCTGCGTATTCTGTGTCTGATAAATCAAAGAAGAAAAATGATAAATTAAAAATGCACAACTCCCGTACTTCGAGCAAATTGTGAATAATTAAGTGCTGCGGCCTTGACGGTTTCATTTCCAACTTCCCGGTTGTTAAAAGTGTTTTGTTTTTATTTACCCACGAGAGTGCGCCAATATTTTTTTTAATATAAATGTTTATGCAACAACAACTTACTGATATTCAAATTTAACTTAAAACTCGGAAATTGCAAGGGACCGAGTAAAGCTCTTAACACTTGTTCTGCAACAGGGTTTCTTTTGTTTAAACATTTGGAAATTTTATAATAACTTATACATTTGTGTAAAAATGATTTATGATATCAAAAATCACTCAAGGAAATCAAAAGTCTGCATAATTTACTACTTTTTTTAATGGTGACTCTGACATTGATGTGAACTGGTCTAAAAGTGATCTGAATTATAATGAATTAAACGTCTTAAATTGGCATTCAGTGTTTTTTTTTTACTTAATTAACATGTTGTCAATGATCAATCTATAGTGTGTTTTAAGGCTATGATTTTAGAATTTATTTTTGAGTAAAATAAAAGAAACAAAATTTAGTTTGGTTAGGCAATGGCTATAATTCAACCGATCTTGTGTGGAGCTTCTAGGGTTAAAAGCTTGAGTTTGAGAGAAGAAAAAGATAATGCTAAAGAGAGAGATAATGATAACTGTGCTTTATTCCTTCTTCTCTGTATCTCCTTCTCCCAAGCCCAAGTACCGTTGCAGATGAAAAAGACAAGAATAGTGATATAAAAAAAAAACACATTTTTACATTTAACTCACAGCAAAAGCAGCGCAACGATCAAAAGGCCTTAGAAGCAGGCAGCGACATGGGAAGGACACTGGAAATAACGGGAAAACAGCAGGAGAAGAATCCGGAGAAGGGAGCGGAAAAGGGTGCTGATCCTGAGAATGGTGACGCTGTGCGCAGGCGTGGCCACGAAACCAGCGAACTGGAGGCAGCCACACATCTCTTTAAGGGAAGTGTTGGCGCCGGACTTTTCGCCATGGGAGATTGCTTCAAGAACGGAGGATTGGCAGGAGCCACCATCCTCCTGCCCATCATTGCGGTGATGTGCGTCCACTGTGAACGCATGCTGATCCGTGGTTCGGTTTTGGCCGTGGAACGGACACCGGGCGTCGATTTCCTTGACTATCCGGAAACGGTGGAGAAGAGCTTCGAGCACGGACCACGCCCGCTTCGGAAAATGTCACGTTTTATGAAGCTTGTCGTCGAAATGTTTCTCTGCGTTACGCAGTTTGGATTCTGTGCCATATACTTTGTGTTCATCACGGAGAATCTTTACCAGGTGGGTGAAAAACTAACAGAAGAGTTACATAATAGATATAACCATGAACATTATGCTTCCAGGTCTTTCAGCAGAATGGCATCGATATCAGCATGAGCATGGTGATGCTGATCACCCTACTGCCGGCGATGATTCCCTCGCTGATGACCAATCTCAAGTACATCTCACCCGTATCGCTGTTCGCCAATGTGGCTCTACTTTTCGGATTGGTTGCCACCCTGACCATTGCCTTTTCGGATGGACCGATGCCCTCGGTTGGTGACAGGCATCTATTTACGGGCGGTGCCCAGTTGGCCCTGTTCTTTGGCACGGCCTTGTTTTCGTACGAGGGCATTGCCTTAATCCTGCCACTGAGAAATTCGATGCGAAAACCAGAAAACTTTAGCACCCGGTTTGGGGTACTCAACTCCACGATGTTCTTAACCACGGCCCTGTTTATCTTTACGGGATTCGTGAGCTATGTTCGTTGGGGCGAGGAAGTCGCTGGCAGCATAACCCTAAATCTAGTGGTGGAGGAAATGTAAGTATATTCAAATATACTATATATATTAGAATATCTGAACGATACTTACTCAATTTTATTACAGATTTTCACAGGTGGTTAAAGTAGTTGCTGCCCTGGGCGTTTTCCTTGGATATCCCATCCAGTTCTTTGTGATGATCAAGATCCTGTGGCCTCCACTGAAGCGGTCTAATAACTGTGCCCAAAAGTATCCCATTACGATCCAGGTGTGCCTGCGTTTCATCATGGTGATGATGACATGTAAGACTACTTAATATTTAGGAATATAATTTGTGCTTAAAATATTTATAATCTTACCATTTGTAGTTGGCGTAGCGCTGGTCGTTCCCAAGCTAAATCTGTTCATCTCGCTGATCGGGGCATTGTGCTCCACCTGTCTGGCCTTCGTGATCCCCGTGATGATTGATTTTGTGACGCGAGCGCAGGTTCCCAAGGGATTGGGGGTTTGGTCTTACATCAAGAACATCCTCATCCTGACGGTGGCCGTCCTGGGAATCGTCACAGGCACCTACCAGAGTATCGTAGAGATCGTCAAGGAGTTTAAGTAGGCTCTAAGCGCTAGCAAGTATGTTTTTTGTACATAAATAATGCTGTCATTCCTGTAAAGAACTCTACGTAAATGCTTTGCCCTGCTCTATTGTAAGCCTAATTCCTATACTATGTACTTTTTTTCTTCAGTTTTTTTTGTTAATAGTCTTAAGCTGTGCATTTGTTTATATGTTTAAAAATGTTTAATTGGCATTCTAAACAAAAAAGAAGGCATAAAAGAATATGATCTGCAGCAAATTCAAATTTTAATATATGATATGGCTTTGGTTGCGTCAAAGCCTTGGTTTGAAATTATTTATCGTTAAAATAATGTGTTAAACAAACGTTAATGATCGATTTTATAAACATAGTGAGATTTTGTATAAAGTATTAACTAGCTATCAAAAAAAACAATGTTTTACATCGCTATTAGCTATTAAGTTTGCTTAAAATGTGAAAATGAGCTTTTAAAGCGTACAAATCTATAAAAAAACGTTCACAATAAACAATTTTTTATCAAGAACTAATGAAATATTTTATATTTTATGTATATATTTTAGTCGCACACATTGTTTATGTTTTTACACTGTAAGCGTAACTTTAAATTATTAAGTTAAAAGGAGAGAGATCTGTGTTAGGGATTAAAAGTGTCCAGTTTTAGGGGGCTGAGAGAATTAGTGAATCGGATAGGTTAAAAATGTTTATGTTTTTAATATTTTTCAATAGCCTTTAAGCACTAACAAAACAAGTCGCACGGCGGAAAGAAAGAGTTTTTTGTGTAACTAACGACTAAAACTAACAACCACGAAATTTAACATTTTCTATAAGGAGTAACATCGTCTTTTTTAAGAAAAATGAATAAAAAATAAGATTTTTAGGTGAGAATGCAGTTTTCTTGGAAATTTAATAACGAATTCAACGAGGTATGCCGTTCCAGATTCGGATCATTATTGACTTAGTTATGGACATAATACTGTCACCTAAAAGGGGAAATAAGGAGAATTCAAATTTCTCATTTTCGATAAGGGGTCTCATTATTATCTTTTCCGAAAAACTTATTCTAATTTACATTTTTATCTTTGAATACAGTTTTAATAGGAATTAACTTAAGAGCTCAACAAAGTATGATATTCAATATTTGGACAATTTTTGGCTTTGTAATGATAATTTTTAACGAAAAATGAGGATTATGACTTTGAACGAAAAAGTTCAATATTCTTGGCATATAAAATTGTACATTGATAGAAATATTGTTTATTTATATTTTAAAATCGACAGTATTATTTCAGAATCTTTAGAAAACTAGCATTTTTACAAACAAAATACAGTAATATGTATTTATTAATACATTCCTGGTCCGGAAAGACTCTTCTCCATGAACTTTTTCTTGGCAAAGCATATCCACCACTTGCTGGGCTTGTCATCCGGAGTATCAAAGACTTTCTCCAACAATCGCAGTCCGGTTTCCTGTCGCAGTTGCAGGAAATATTGCCGCATAATCTCCGGATCGTCGGGTTTGGTGTAGATGGCGTTCAGGGGGAATCCCGGATCGCCGGGCAGATCGAACCGAGAGATGGCCAGGCTATAGAGCTCCTGCTGACCCTGTGCCTTACTCGTGCAGCGGGCCAAACGCTTCAAACATTCTGTTACGTACAGAGTTATGTAGATAAGAACTCGGTCCACTTCCGACTGTGATTAGATATGGTATAGAGGTTATTTAGGCGGTGGTAAAAAATACAAAAGAAAAAAGCAGAGAAAAAACATTACAAACATTAATTCAAGATTTTTGTTTCATTATTCATTCGAGAAAGATACAAATTTGCAAGCCATATTATTGAAATTTAACAGCGAATAAAAATAAAATGCAGAGATTATAAAATCGACTTTTTTTAAACATATTCAATATAATACACTAACATATTTCTAAAATTGAATTGAAACCTTATCATTTTTAGTTTGATAACATTCCTACATGACTAGTAAGATAACACAGTTTGGATTCATCATCAAAATATTTACTTTTGTAGAGCTTGAATCCCTGGCCTATTTAAAGAATTCTTCGAAATATTTAACATTCTGTGCTGACTATATTTTAAAATATGAAGTTCGTTTAGTTTTATCTCTGTTTTAATTCCTTTGTTTGGTAACTAACCTTAACTTCGTATGTGCGGAAAAAAATGTTTGACTTCCAGAAGTATAATGACTCATCGATGATATCGTTGGGAATATCAACATTGGGCGCTGGTCCTCGGACTTGTGTACGTAATGGCAGAATAGCCATATTGCCCACCGATCCATGGAACTCCTCGATCTCCGAGTGGAATGCCTGGCCATGTAAACAAAAAAGCGGGTTGCCAGTTTTTTCCAGTTAAAAGATAATGGGTAATAAATATTTGTTGTTCTTAATTTTCAAGTACTTTACTCACCGGCATTCTTATATATTTATTTCTTTTTGCAACGTCAACCGTTTAAAATAAACGAAATATAAAACTTTATATTTTATCAGCACTTTTTAGAGATGGGTAAATTTAATCTTTTTGAAGTTAAATAAACGGACCATCGCAGCTTATTACACCGGCCGCAGGGCTGGCAAAGTTTGGTATTTTTTGTCACTACTTAGAAGTATTAAAATTACTTACATGGAATTGTAGGCGACTTGACGGCGATTGTGGCACTGTATTTGGTATTTCGTTCTGGCACTGCTCAGATATATTAAAATTACTAACACCAAAATCGATGTTGACGACTTGAAGGTTGCTGTGTGACTGAGGGACACGTGTCTTTTTTGAATATGAAGAGCAAATTCGCGCCAAAATATCAGCCGCCTTCAAAGTGACCAGCCCATTGTTTATTAAAATGGTAAACAATGGTGTGAGTCCATGGGCAATGATATTGTGTCTTTGCTAAGAGGGATTTTTATAGATGGTTTCAGTCCTTACTTGACGAAATTGTGTCTTTACTAAGGGAATAAATAGAGGCGGTTTGCTATAGGGTGTTGAGTCTTGGCTAAATGGTTTCATGTCTTGGGTGAACAATCGATATCGATAACGATGGCGAACAACTTATCGCATTAACATCGATTTTAGTTCCAGCTCTAATCCAGTTCAGTCAAGTTTCGAACTCAGCCGGAAGAACACGTAAATAGTTAAAGTTGCTGCCGATCGCGTTAATTATCATAAATCTCAACTAGACTCGCCTTAAAACTAAAGAAGTGTTGTAAATATCACCAGGAATCGCAATCGCAATCGATTTATCGTGCGTTTATTGACCGCTTAATTTCCCGCCTTGTTTTGTTTTTGTTTTTGTTGCCAATGGTGTGCCTGTTGCCTTCCATTTACACTGAGAGTAATTCAAACTGCCGATGATGCGGGCGAAGCGGTGGAATTTAATTGCAAATAGCATTTTATCCTTGGCTGATTGCGGTTTCCTTTTCGCCATTGTTGTTGTTGTTCCTGCTGTTTTGTGCAGCAAATAAAACCCGTTTCACCACGCCATAGGGTGTGTGTGTGTGTGTGTGCGTGTGTTTTTGTTTGCTTGTTTGCGCGGCTTTTTTTTTTTTTGTGGACATTGTTTTTGTTATTATTGGATGCAAATTCGACAAAAACTGCAACATCTTTAAGGAACTCCAGAACAGACAGCAACGCAACTCAGACGAGGCAGGAGGTTGTAAGGTAAGTGAAGCTTCTTTTTTAAATATATATTTACATTTAAGATTTCTAAATATTTGAGTCCTGAGAGCTGCTTTTTGCCTTTTCTTATTAAAATATTAAACTATTTTCAAATTAAATAAAAGTGCGACGCCCTTGACAGTCGAGTGAAATGCAATGCACTGGGAAAAATGTTAAACTTATTTCAAAAACAAAACTTAGCTAGTAAGTTTAAAAGGAAAACTAACAAAGTTAATGCAGCTGTTGGCTTGCATACAAGTTACTTATTTAAACGCTGTTAATTGTTTTATTCAGCAACCCTAAATTTTGTTTCTTAAATCAGAAGATTAAGATAAACTTTGGTAAGCAATATAAAAAGGGTACAGATAAGATTATTCAGTTGGCACTCAAATTTTTGACTTATTTTTCTTCTAACAAGAAATGTTTTTTAATAAAAATCCTATAGGCTATTCCTTTAAATTAAATATTTATATAAATAACTTAAAGAAAACACGCAAACTTAAAGCCCAGTTGATAACAAAAACGAGAATGCATCGGCAATGCACTTTTGGTTAAATTCATATGAGAATATTTTATATTTTTCCCTGTGCAAAGAAAGAAAAGAAAAGGCAGGCCAAGAAATGATGACAAGAAGACGAGGCTTTGGCTCTTGGCCCGACTTCCAAATCAAATGGAATTTAGCCGGTTTCCATAAAAAGCAGCTCAGACAGGCGGGAAAGAGAGGGATTCTCGAGTGAGTGGGTCAGTTGTAGTGGCTGCGGCTGGCGAGGGTTAAGCAGCGGACTTTTTTTTTTATATATTTATTATTCATTGTAGGCTTTGGGGGGGGGGTTAAAACGGGGCGGCGAGTTGCGAAAGTTCAGTTGCGCGTTTCTTTTATGCCTTTTCCTTTTGGGGCGTGGCCGGCCGCCACCGCCGCGGATGCAACAACAATGAGCTCCTCCTCCGATCTGGCTTTAACTTTAAGATGGTTATGGATGCACTCCAATTGGATTCCGTATTTGATGTGCCAATTGGATGTGTTAATAACTTTTCTTTGTTTCCATTTCTTGGGATAATTAATCTGTGTTTGATGTAACCAAATTTCTTTTCAACAAATGTTTAATACTAACTTTCTTTTGGAAGAAACCATTTATTTTCTTTATTTTCATAGCACTTTTGATAATCTTTATGAAATGACAAACAACTTTCCTTATAACCACCAAATATATTTTAAAGATATTTCTCATTCTAAATTTATTACTTTCTTACTTAATCCAAGCCTACTTAAGCTTAAAGCCCAGCTAAATTGAAAATGAAAAAGAAAATGACCGAGTCAGAAGTGGAAAGCAGATTGTAATTACTGCATAATGCCAGTGGGTTTCCGCCATGTGGATATGGTATGACGTCGAAAGGTAGTTAGTTAGTATTACTATTGGGCCACAAAGCCCATTCCCAGCGACTGACTGACTGGAATTATGTAAATGGCTCAAATTGGCATCAGTGGGAATGGCAAGGCCAGTAAATGAATAGCCCGGCTAAATACACAAATAACCAGCGAATATAAAAAGCCAAGATACATATTTAATTATTTACCCGAGAACTTGTTCGGGGCTTATATTACCCCGCTGTTATTTTTTTATTTCGTTTTTTTTTATACATTTTTTGGTCTGCGAAATTTCAAATGCGAGTGGAACGTGTCTGAGATCAGAGAATACGAAAAAAAAGGGCAAACAACAAAGGAAGGCGGAAAATAAAGCACGGCAAAGCGAAGTTCAAGACGAAAATCAACGTTTGACTTGGGTTATGAATATATATTGCCAGTTATACACTATCTCAGGAATTAAGCTAAGTGCAAAGAGCAGAAAATGCAAAGCACAGTTAAGAGTTACAAATTGTCATTTAAAGTAGACAAAACACGGCTTAGTTTATAGCTCAAAAACAGCTAGTTAAATGTAAATTCAATTTATTTAAATCTAAAAGATGCTGTGTTTAATTTAATTTCTATTCAAATTAGTAAAAAGGCAATAAATGCAGCAACTTTCACGCTCTGACAGCAATTTATTGGCTTTTTATTGCCATTTAATAATGGGCTAGCTATTAAAAATAAAAAACACTTTAAAACTTATATTGGCTATGTGATCCCCAATCAATTTTAGAGCATTTTTAGTTCGATTTTTTACTTCCTTTGTCTTTTTTTCCTACGTTTTTTACACATTTTGTTAGTTTTTATGTTTGCTAAATTATTGCGTTAGGTGGGCTGGATATTACTGGCTCGAATTTGTTGATTTTCCTTCGCTCGATTGTTGTCATGGCCTTATATTAATTTGTTGCCTTAGCCGGCTCACCTAACAATTGCTGTTTTTTGTCAGGCCGGGCTTTGTGTTTGCTTTGGCTTTTTGCCTTTGCTCTAAGAAATGAGCTCAGTTTGGGCTGCAGACTCTCAGCCCACGTTTAAGAGGTATTTATTTAATTATTCCATGAAACTTGGGCGCCACTGCACGGCAAATAAAGAATTGATAGTACGTTTTCTGAAATGAAGGCATAACATATTTGTTAGCTATCTTAAAACTAATATAAAATATGCCTAATTTCTGAAATAAAGTCTCTGTAGAATAGCCAGTCTTATACAATCTATACCTCGTCAAATATAGTATAGAAAAAATGTGGGAAATCATGAATTAATCTGTGAGGAAAACATAAAAAGCAATGTTCGGCGTGTCATTTGTTTGTCGGCAGACAGCTCGTTTAAACATCAACACAACATTGGCAACGAATAAAACGAAAGCATAAAAACTCTGTTGTGGTTTGGACCCGCTTGCAGTTTGTGTGTCAACAAATGAGCAAACATATGTGGACATTTTTACACTGCCGTCGAAGCAGTTTGCCGACCAAGCGAAATGACTAACTTGGAATTTGATTTTTGCTAAGAGGAGGAGGTAGGGTTTCATATTCAGTCGCTCCGTTTATTTTTTCTGTGTGTGTCTGTCTGTTTTTTTTTTTTTTTTTTTTGCATCCTCGGTGGGTGGCAATGCCATTCCCGAGAAGTTTACTTTATCGTCGGGCATTAAATGGCCTCGCATCAAGTGCAAGATGGATGACGGCGTTCTGGGGAATCGTATTTGGGTTCCCATCTTCCAGTGCTCACTCCTCCTTCTCATCGCTCCTCCAATTTCACTCCTTGGCAAAATAAACCAAAGGGAAAACAATAGCGCTTGTTATGCAAAAATCTCTATAGGAATTCTCCAGAATCGCCTTTGAAGATCTTGTTCCCCAAAAGTCTCGAATTAAAGTGGCTTCTTGAAATTTTAGCAAGCCAGTGAGAACTAGAAAGGCATACCATGGCTTTTTCTGTGTTAATTTCAATGTTTAGCTTTGTTTAAACCTTTTCTAATACTTTAATTATAACATTTACATTATGTTCTATTTAAAAAAGATTTATTTGTAACATTTTGCGACCTTATGTTGTTTGTTTTTATCGCTTCCTTGTGTTGTTTTCATTTTTATTTTTCCAGTTTGAAAGGAGAAAACCTAGATTTTTGGCTCTTTTAATTATTTTTCTCGTTCCCATTCAATTAAGTTTAATTTTGGAAATTTTCAAATGGGAAATTTAACGAGCTTCCGTCTCGTTTTAATATTTTTCGTACTTTAATGATTTAACACTTTGTGACCCACTGTGCCGCATTTCCACGGGCCGCCAGCATATGTTTTGTTCTTTTTTCCCCTCTCGCACTCTCTCTACTTTTCCCTGCCTTTTTTAATGTGTTTTTCCATTTCACACTTTATGGTGTTGCAGCTGGTTGAAAAGCAGAAAAAAGAGCGGAAAATGTGGAAGTGGAAGTAGAAGCAGGAGCAGAAGCATTTTCCACCGCTGCACATGTTTCGATTTCCATTTCCCTTCCTGCGAAAAGTGCATTGCCAATATTGTTTTCTCTCCCCCCACGTTTCGATAACTTTTCTCTGTATCTTTTTATGACTCCTCCTCCACTTTATCTCCTTCTCCTGCTGTGCCTCCAGTTCGTCGTTATCCCCCCGCCTCCACCCACTTTCCGTTGCTTTGCACACATTTGCATCCGACACTTTTTGAAAACCGGACGCACTTTGTCACCGTCGCTGATCTTTAATGGTGCGTCCGTATCGGTGTGTGTGTGAGTGATGAATATACGGCGATGCACTGGGAAAAAGTGCATATGAGAAGGGTTGTAAAGGTAAAAAGAAAGGTACTAGTTTGAACCTAACTATAAAGAACTTTAAAAGTCACTCAGATAATAACAAAATCTGTAAAGATTTCCACTTATTTTTTAGGTCATTCAAAAGTATTTATATAAAGAACTAGACTATATGCATAGATTACAGATAATTTCTTTTAGTGTACATGCCATGTGCGACATGTAGCGATAGTTGGAGGCGACACCTTTGGCAGCGACAACGGTGCTCCCATTGCAATGTCACCATGTCGTTCGTTCCATTTCGCCGCTTTCAGTTTTTCCAGTCACTTCTAGTTCCATTCTCCATGTCATGGTTCCCTATGCCATTCACCATAGATATAGATATATTATATGTATGGATGGCATTCCCTATAGACCCTATAGTCCATAGTTCCATACCCATAAACGCACATTCATAATTCTCTCAATGGGCAGCGCTGTATAAATGCAGACAATAATAAACAATACCAAAACAGGCGCTTCCGTTTTCCGGCCGTATAAACAGTGCAAAAACAAAAGGAAAAAACTTAGTTTTTTGTGTTGCCCTTTTCGGTTTTTGTTGTTGTGGCGGAGAGTTCAACAAACCCCTTCCATCATTAACCCCTGTTCGCCCCTGGAATCCACGCACTTTGCGTGGGACAAAGATGGCCTTCATTTTCATCTTGGGGCTTGACTTTAATTAAACGCATTGCTGCTCAAAGTTGAATTTAATTGAATCAATAGACTAACTAAATTAAGGCAATAACGCCTACCTAAAATTAGGTGAAGTATAACAAAGATAGTGTATACCAGCCAAGTTATTAATTTCAGTTCTTA